AAATTAAAGCATATTTACATTCAGAAATGGCGTAGTTTTTTTTAATAAGGCGATTAATTGTGGACAGACTTCACTAGTAATTTAGCCAATAATGTACATAGTCTTTTCTAAAGTATAATTATAGACGCTATAATTCAGGCTAAATCACCCATTAACAAATCTTGATAATTATACTCCACACAGATAAACAAATTTCCCAAGTTAATCCCATTTTAATCCTTTATTCCTCCGATGGTGGCCACGTTCCCATTTCTTTCTGGATATTTTGCATCCAAATTCACCATCTCATTTTACGGCTGGCGAGATATGCAGTAAATTATATATTCTGTAGAGAATAGAGCTTGAGCCTCGCTGTGGAAGAAAAGAGTCAACAATTCGCCCGAAATGGGTCGACCACTGAAGGAAAGGAATTAGAAGATGCAATCTCCTTCATTCCATTCCTCTCTCGGACACACTCATTTGCTGCACAACTTGAAATATGAGCGTTCCCTTCATGGCTTCCGGTTTCATTAGGAAATCCTGTGCAGTGCGCACCCACGTCCAAGTGAATTCGCAGTCTCATTATTACCCGGACGAGCGTATGTACATATGCACGGAGAGAAAGAGCAGGGTTCTCTCCCGTCGCGGATTTCCCCATCGAAATACAGTCCACGACACATTATTTCTTGCAGCAGGTGACCCCGACGAGAAGGTAAAAAAAATCGTTTACTAATAAATACTTATCACGATGCTAAAAGAATGAGTTTGCGATTTTGCGACGATTTTGCGACGAAACAAACAAAAGCACTGCGTTCGCCCAAGAGCGATATCAGAGGAGGCGAGAGTGAAGTACATAGTATCAGAAAACCATTCTGCTGGATGAGCTCGTGGAATGAAAATAAGTTGCTCTTATCGCTTCAATTTCATCAGGAAGGCTTGAATTTCCTTCTGCCGCGTATCTATCTCGGCAACGGTGGTGATGGGACCAGGCTGCATCAATTCATTTTGATAATGGGAATTTTTATTCTCGAATGGATTGGAAAGGAATCCACCCAGCCTGACACCACCGCTGATCGAATTATTCCAGAGGACACACGACTTGAGCACAAGAAAGATGCATTTTCATATAAAATGAGAATTAGATTGGGGCTTCTGAAATTTGCTTTTTGAGGCTTGTTCGCAAAATGAGGAACAGATGTCAACTGTCGGAGTCGAATTGTTATTTTCGCAGGAATAGGCAGAGTTGTGTAAGGAGACGTATATACCATATTATACACAGATCCGATTATGACTGAGCCACCAGGAGACACATTTATTAGGATCACGTGACTCTTGCACATCGGACCGAGCTGAGACGTTATTATCGTTTATACTGCATTGTTACTTTTAATAAGGACTGATTCTGCTGCTGGAGAAGGACATTTGATTGGATGTCTGGCTGTGTCTAAAAAAAGTTTCATCAAGCCGAGCCGCCCTTTCGGTAGGGACAACAATTCCTGACTTTTCTAAGATTTGACACAGACACTTAGTTAATGAGGGGTAAACTTTGGTCACAAAGACATGATGATACGATGACAATCCTGGACGGGTTGGGTTCATTACTGATGATAAGATATGGGGAAATTCCTCATATCATTATGTACATGAAGATCTGCTGACTGCTTTTACAAGTCAGCAGATCTTGACTTACATGATGTTCGATATAAGAACTCTATCGCTCCCGCAAATCCCATCAAGCGCATTTTTTTGTATTAGTTTGAAATAATAGAATAGAGACTACGTCCCGCTAATATCAAAGTATGTAATACCAGAAATCACATCGTAAGCACTTTGAATTTTCTCTATAAAATTAATTCAATCTACATTTTGTTAACGTAATGCAAAAGTTGGAATTACTCGTCCAATTAATTCCTTGTCGTAGGCAATACAGCAATAAATAGAGAAGGATTTGAGCGAACACGATTAGGACGTGATCTGTAAAAGAACTTCCCCGAATACAAAATAAGTCTTCGTTTAGCTGGGAGAGACGTGGTGTTGAATTAAAATGGCTAAATTTTTATGGGGTATAATCATAAGATGAAATCAAAGAGAAATTCCCAGGTGCAATTACAAGCTAAATCTTTGCCAGAAAGGCGGTGCACCCATTTCGAGGAAAAAAGGAAGAAAATCTGGCCAAGTTAATACACTAAATTTTTGGGTAGTTCAAAAAAGTTGAGCATGTATCTGCACGTCTACGACCGAACCCGATCCAGCCATTCGTCGTCATCATTAAGAATTAAAAGATGTGAACAGCAGTATTTGCTGGCAAGCCAAATGTGCAACTAAGCAAATCTAATGGTAGCCAGTGTTATTCCCTCCCGTTTAAATAGGACGCGACGTTCCTTTCTTGACAGTAGACTCCGACCCAACTACGCTTCTTGGTCGTGTAGAAACTGATTGCCTCCGAATTTCAAATATTCGTCTAGGATATTGGAAGAGGATTTCAATGAAAACAGATTTAGATGGAGTGATAAGGTATCTATCCACTTACGAGCGAGACTCGGCTGGAAGTAGGAGGAAGTGACACCCATCACGAGGCGGAAGTAAGAGGTCGACTTATTCGAGACACTTATTTGTCCCGCTATTCCTACCAGAGAAGAGAGTTCAATTCAACCACCACACATCGCCCCCTCCTCCTCCTCCTCGTTCCCTGTCTACGTAAACAATATGGGGAAAGAAGTCGGTCGGTATGTGTGTTTTGAGTGCAATTCAATTTATAAGTCTGGCAAGAAAGGAGCAAGTCAAGAAGAGTTGATTCCCCTGAAAGATGAATGCGAAAAAGACATGCATTCTCCATTATTCATAAAGAGACTGCATTCCTCTCCCAATCTCTCTCCTCCGACCGATGGAGTGTGGAGTGTGGTCGTCGCCTTGCGTCCTCTTTTACTCCATGAGACTCCCACTTCACACAAACTTGTACAACTTTCTCCTCTCAATTGATGGGGCGTTCGTCCACTGCGAGATGCGATACGGAGGACGGCACCTTCTTCTGCTTTCACCACCACCACCACTTGATATAACATTCCATCCAATTCCCTCTTAAACTGATTCCTCGCGAGGCCAAGTTTTCCACAGCGGCTGACCCTTGGTAAATATCAGCCTATTCTCCTCTCTGACCAAAAGAGAACCATGAATCCCTTTCACTTCTTCTCGACCACATCACATTCTTTGCAAACATTAAGGATGAACGTGGCGATGGAAACTTCATGACACGATAATTATGTTGTGAAGAGTTTTACCAATTTGTGGTAGACAAGCTGGACTGGAATTCTTAAGAGATAATTTCCGCCCCTGTCTAAATAATATGAAGTTTTCCACCGCAGGATTTTTCCACGCGGTGAGCTTATATATTGAGAAAAAGCAAGGATTGTTGCGATACTATAGGTATGTATGACCTCTCTTTTCCTGCGTGTGCTCATGGATTGAAGACTATTCTACGAGCCAACAACAATGGCGAAGTTGCTCGGCGAATTCATTCATTTTCCGCCGAGCCGCATATTTTGGTCGTTTCTCCTCAGCTGCCTTGCTGCGTGCTGTGGCTGGATGATCTTGTAGAGAGTCTAAAACGGAATCGCCTTTCTCTGCTTCATCCTCCTCCTCCTATTATTCCCTTTCTTACCTCATGTTTAGAACAAGGAGAAGACTTGAGCTTTTTCATTTTGGAATTTTGGGCCAAAAAAAGAAGAAGGAGGAAGAAGAAGTCACTCTTTTTTTCACGTCTTTCATTTCCTCAACTAAAGTCTAAACTGTCGCATTACTCACACTTTGTGCTTCGGTTTCTGCTCTAACCTGATTTGTAGGCATTGCAAAACCAACGAGAGACGAAGGCTGTAGTTGAGGAATGAATTTTTAATGGAACAGAATGGCAATTTGTGTCCAATGAAGATGGAAAGCACTTGCAGACGACAGGTGCATATGTGTCATGTGTAAATACGTAATGCGATTTTCAGTCAGTGAACGTGTGTTTGGGTCGGAACCACCACCACGATGACGACGACGACAACGTCGACGGTGGCGATAAATGTTGTTGTGCTACGTAAGTAACTAGCCAATTTATAATTGAACTGCGTTTCAACGAAGCAAAAACGTATCGGTGGTTGGTGGGTGCGGGTAAAAACGTTGACAAAACACCCGTGTACACGCCCTGCATACACAACGGCTGTCAAACGGCTCTGAACTTTTGTGCCACAAGGTTTCCGTGCTTGAGTCCCCTTTGGTACTATTTATGAGTGATGCGTGAGGAAAGAAGTAAAATAAATCAAATCTTTATAGGTGACCACAACCTGCGCGACCTGAGAGCACAAGCAAACAAAATGTTAAATCGTGTCAGCCTTACTGAGCACCTATTTATTTAGTTAATATTCTCCACTGGACTAGTTTACTTTGGTCGCGGTTATCACTTTGACTCCTGATTAAGCGACTTTCAAAGTTTTACAATAATAGTGGTGTTATGCACGCTTAAATGCCTGTAATGGTGGTGGCTTACGTATGGCTTCGGTGTAGGCATGCTATGCACACATTTATATATTTATAGAGTGTCTCAATTTGTAGATCATTGCACTGTCAACAAATGTACATGTATCTGCACATATTGACAAAACAGGACTGCTTGAAACCACGAAAAAGCTATTTTATTCTCGAGCGTATGTACATATGCATGACTGGATTCATGAAGCGCTAACAATTGGAAATATGTAGCTGGCACACTTCACATCCCATATTTTATAAGTGAGCAAAGCTGCTAATCCAAGTCTTTCATAGGAATCAAATATGCGTCAACGTCACATTTCTATTGATTTTACATCATTGTCCCCGTTAAAAATAGGTTGATATTGAAAGTCTCAAAATAGAGAGGCACACTTTTCTCCACCTCTCTCGTACACACACACACACAAACAAAATTGTCGACCTCGTGCTTCTGCTGCTGCTGCTGGAAAAGAAGGAAAGAAAGCGAGGATAGGATGAGACTGTTGCTGGCTTACCGTTCGAAAACATGTCGGCCAATTTACCCGGCTCCTTGCGAACCGTGCTCAATCTGGCAGCGTAGATTATTCCCCCGACGTTCAATTCCACGACGGGGTCATCCATTTTGGGCACAAAATCACCAACACACAACACACCTTAAATATTTTATTCGATTGCACCTTGTCCACCTCTGCCGCTGGGTATATATATGTTTATATAATATATGTGTAACTATTGTTATTGGGCTATAGAATTCTCTTCCTGTGTAATGTTCCTATTTTTCTTGCAGAGGTGCTGTTAGGTCCAAAATGGGAGTCGGTAAATCAATTAATTTCCATGAGTCATGGAAAACAAATAAATTGTACAGACCCAATTTCTAATTGCAGTCGTGTGCGCTCAATCACTTAACACGACTTCCGCTTTCCTATCGACACATGACAAGACGGCGAGGGGTCCTGTTGTATATCGTTCTTGATACTCACTCCGAGTTGCAATTACAACACGAACGAATAACAATCATAAATCATCCCGACGTAATTATAGATTTGGTTCCATTCCTCCGTTGGAATTTCCCTGTACACACGGGTGAAAATGTGTTTAGATTAGAACATAAAACGGACGATTTCCACCACCATCATGCTAAATGCTCGCACAATTTGCAGCAGGTTGGCTCAGGAATGTTTTATAGTTGACTGATGGCGGCTTCTTGGGCTTACATAAAAATAGTTGCATAAAGTTGGCTATATGCGCATATCTACGTATACTGAAATAACCGCAGTATTCAATTCTTCTATTTCTGATTACGCTAATCTCGTTCCCAATAATAACTCAATTTATGTACGATCGTGATCAACAAGGAAAAGCATATATTTGAGATTAGTCCTACAAATGACTCAATTTGAGTGCAGCCTACTTACAAAATTTCACTTATTCATCTACATAGCTAGCAAGTTGGTCATTCATTCCAACACTTTGAATTACAATGAAGTGTTTCAACTCATTAATTGAATTTGGGAACTTTGCATACTACTTCTTGGTACACTTAATTCCTGAAATGGCAACTTTTCCTGCTAGCCGGCCATACAAAAGTGGATACGAACATACGTACTTACGTACCTACCTATTTATAAGTAGTCCAGCACCTTTTTTGTTTGTTGAAGAGGACGAGAAGACGACGTTTTGCTGTGTTTGGAGAGAGCCAGGAGAATGAAATAGGAGGTATTATTTCATTCCAGGTGACACTTGTAAATTTTGTCTAGTGCTTTTCCTTCGCTAGCTTTCTCTCTTGTGGAAAGTGGGGCAAGTTGAGTGAGCTAAGAGGAAATTTTGTGTCGCATAAACTTCTTGCATATACACACTTCTTCAACTCGTACTGCTGCTCCCTGTATGTTGCTCCATGTACATGAGGCAGTGCCGGTTTGTGTTAAGTATTGGGTGGGTGGACTACTGCTGAGCAAAGAGGAATGAAAGGAGGGAAAGGAAATTTCTCCTGTTTTCTCTCTTTTGTCTCCGTCTTCAAGTCTCGTTTGGAGCGAGATGGCGAGTCGTTGGGTGGGTAAACCGATGGAGAAAGGATGAAATGTTCAATAAGATCTTTGATCCTCCAATGAGCAAAGTTTGTGTGTGCTTCTTCACTTCTTGTGACTTTGCACCGTTGCAGCTTGTTTCTTATTCTCCGAGCTTTCTTCTTCCTCCCTTTTCGTAGACAAGGAGAGAGAGAGAGCGAGTGGGAAAGTCGTGATTTTCCAAGAAAGAAAGGAACAGAGACTGATTTGGATTTAGGTTAAGAAGTGACGAGAGAGAAAGGAAATCTGTTTGTTCTTCATCTCCTGCTCGGCCTGGGAATCAAATTGATCCCTTCCTGGTGATTTGGTCAAGTGGACTCCTCAGCTCTCCAGCAGACTTTGCGGGGGGTCTTAGCTGCTAATTTCTCCAACACCCAAGAATACGTATGACGACAACTCGACCCAATATAACCAGAAAAGGACCAGAAGTTCCCGGCTCCTCGCGGCTCACCAATCCATCCAGGGAAAGAGTGATCTATAAAATCAGCAAATACAAGAAAGTATGCGTTAGTCAAAGCAGACCTGGCTCTAAATAAGCTCCTGCCAAATTCCGCTCCTGGAGCAGAGACGGCAGAACACACGGCCCTTTGTGAACGTATTCATTTAGGAATGAAAACAGGTTGCATAATACTTGTGCGAGTTGTGACTTGCACATGTATTCCATTACTTGGATGAATGATCAGGTCTAGTTTGTGAATTACTATTCCAGAGTAACCATTATCGTAGCAGGACATAACATCATTTACCGTAAAATGCGACTCTTCTCCCATGGGATGGACTCTGTGAGTCTCTCTCTTTCTCTCTCTTCCCTTTCCAACCGAGTGAATAGCAAAACCCGATAATATCCTGTCCAACTCCTCCTAGTTCCAGGTGATGGTGACTCAATGCATATAGCTCTTGTTGTAATCTACTAACTTTAAATGACACTGCGGAATATTCCGAATTTGCGTACAGAATATATTACTTTCTCCAAAGTAAATAAGTTAGATCGGCATAAGAGCCTTGAACTCATCTACGCTTTTTGACTTTCGTCACTTTATTCGTACAAAGTTTGATATATTTTTCAATTACGCAGCTCACACGATAATGCTCTTGTTTAAGAAATTGAATGAAAGAATTCGCATAGAAACCCCAATGGCTAAAAGTGAGTGGCAATGATCATAAACATGAGACTCGCGTTTTCTTCTCGTACTAAGCTGACTTGTGCTGGAGAAAAAGAGAGAGAGAGACGAATCACATCTGTTACATCGAAACTCGTGGATTTAGCAAACATCAATCTCGCAGAAAGCTTGAACGGGTGCGGGAGAAGAAGCTCGAAAAAGTTGAGCCATCCAACAAACAGCGGACTAAATCCTTCAGCAAAATGCAATACGGCTAATACATACGCACTCCACTTTCTTCAGTTTAAAGTCATGGAGTCCTTGGGAGGTTAACTTTCTCCTGCAGCCAAACAGCCAACAGTGGAGTGAGTGCATCGCCGGCAGCGCATACGGCTCCATTTTCCCAACTAAATAGATCGTGCTTTTGTTCAAACGACCAATCCCATTACGTCATGTGCGTCCTCGTCCTCGTGTACGCCGTTCATATCTCAGGTCAAGTTCCTGGGGGAGTTTCTTTGTCGCACACAATTACAAAATTGTTTCCAGCTTATGCAACAGAAGATATTTTTAGAAAGGGCCAATAATCTCATTATATTTCGATTAAGTAAGATCGTAAACTATAAAGTTAATCAATATTTGGATAAAAATTACACTGCAAATTTATAAAAAGTTTTACAAAATTCTTCAAACTGCTACTTTTTTAAGTCAGGAGTTTGAAATAAATTGATCCCAACATGTTTCCTATACGTAACTACGTACCACCACCACCAGCTTGGTTGGTGGAGGGAGGATAGTAGATTTAAGGATGAACACACGCTGCACCGCATTACAGTGATTCTGAGGAATGCTCCTGACTTTGCGAATCTTGGGACCTGACTGAGCTCAAGGAGGAAGAAGGAGGCTGAGAAGAAGGACGTGTTGCTGTTGGAAAGCATTATTTTCAGTCCATATGCAGCAATGGGTTTCACCTCCTGGCTCACTTTGCTCTTTCATTTAATCGAGGCGTGACACACTCTACGAAATTAATCTTAGAAGCAATTCTATTCTATCAAATGTAAAATTCCATCTTGCTCTGCAATTTGGTTGAGCTTCGCCGTTCCCCTTCATTACTCCACAGAAGACAGAAGGAAATAAACCTAATGAACTCTAAGTAAACCGAATTTACAAATCTAATTCCTTTCTCGTGACGGAAGAGTTCGTAATTACACCGTGGAGACGGAAAAGTTGGCTGAATGGAATTATTCTCTCGTACAAAGGGAAGCCATACAAGTTGGTTGGTTGGTATATACCTACGTGAACATTTGAACAAGTAGCTGCGTATGTACATATGTACCTATGGACGAGGAGTACTTATTTGGATTGATAGTTTCACTTGCTATTAGAGGTGATCCGGTCTGGTCTCTCTCTCTCCTTCTTGTCCCAAGCATTTAGAGCAACAAACGACGAAATGAGTGACTTGGAACAAGAACAGCTTTGTTTGTCCGCAATCAATGCGAAAAAAGAGAAAAAGAGAAAGCATCTTTTTTGTGCTCATCCGCTATTCAGTGGTTTCAAGAGGATATCGCAGTTTCTCTAAAGTATCCCTTTAATCCACTAATAAGCCAAACGATGTAGTAGTGGCTACAAATTACAAAAGGATGTTCGCCATCTGTGTTCCTACTGCACCACGACCAAGGCTGCTGTTCAAAGCCATTTTTAGCGAACAAGTTAGCACAATAGCTGCACAATACCGGCTAATGAATACAACCATCCAGAGCAGAGCCCTTTGATGAAAATCTCGTGAAGAACTAATATTTTATCAAAGGTATCACACAGTCTTTTTATTAGAAGAGTAAGTTTTGGAGCAAATAAAGGTTTTCTTCTCAACTCTTGTCCGACCCAGTATCTCTTTAATGGCAAGTTTTTCATCCAGTTGCTTCTCCTTGGGAAGAGATATTTCACAAATTGTGACTAGAATTCTCGTCCAATTTTACCTTATTTCATTTTACTCGTCTCTCTGGAATGCAGAGCAGGGATACTCGAGACGACGAGAGAGAGAGAGACGGCGTGTGAAGAAAGTTTAGCACTGGGTCGTCGTCGAAGCAGCAGAAATGGATGGGTAAGAAAGAGAGTTGGTAAAAAAGAGAAAAGAATTCTGTTGCACAATTTTCGTTTGTTTCTCTTTCTGTGCAGAGAAAATCAAGTTTGCTCACTCACTTTTTTTGTTGAGAGCCTTGCCCAACTTCCTTTTCTAGTTTAATATCTCCCCGATTACATTTTCCAAGTTCCACCAAGCGACCAAAATAAGTGGAGGAAGCCGACGCGACTGACTGAGGTGGATCTATGGGTGCAGGCAGGCAGCACTTACCAACAGGCTGGCAATCGAAGGAACCTCCTCCTCCTTCTTCTTCTTATGTGCACAAGGAGACGACCTGGACCAGGTGCTTGCTCTGTGTCGAAACAGATTTCTCTACTTTGAGATTACAGATTGATTTTCGCAATCCAAATCCACCACCACGACGACTACTTTAAAACCTCACTAACATGAAACACGAGAAGACACCGGTGCATCTATGCATTACACGGTCACGTAATTGGATAGGTATGTTCCCTGCTCAGGGTGTGACGACTCTAATGGAAAAGAAACAAGGGCGGTTTCTCTGAGAATGACAACTATCAATTTTGTCAAATGTGATTTATCTGACTTTTATTTATTTTGTTTGTTTCAATTTAGAAGTCTTTCTTCTCCTAACCGCTCGAAATGTCTAGAAATGTGGCAAGTGTGCTGAGAAATTGTTGGGTCTGAGTCGAGACTGAGTGACTGGGGTTATCAAAGAATGTTTCATAAAACGAGTGCCTTTCCCGTGAGAATTTTTTTGCCATGATTAATATTAATGCCGATGTAAAGGGCTTCTCCTTTTAAGCTTGACGGAGAGAGTGAGAGAGTGAAAAGTATGAGAAATTGGGTGACGTTTCATGTACCTGTAAGAATGCGGCGAGGGAGACAAAATTCGAGTGAAAATGTGAGATTTGAGGAATGGTCATTAATTAGCATTACTGGGTGCATAGGAACGGGCGTAGAAAGTTGGTAGGATAATTTGCCACGAAGGGATCAAGAACGAAGAGGCCGGATGAGCGACACACTGATGAACTTTGAGACCTTCTCACATCAGACGGGAGAAACTTATTAAAAGTTGGTTTCCATCCAACATTCAAGTTCTACTTGAGCCAGTGGTGGTGAACTGCGACTAATGAAATGATGAAATATGATTCCGTGGTGGACGTCTTCGGATGAAAATAAATTGTTTCTTATGTATTTTGTTAGGCATAACTTACTCAGTTTAACGATGCAATTAATTAAATTCGCCATAGGACTGGAGCAGTCTGTTGTTGTATCAAAGATTATATAAAGTGAGATGGATGGATTTAGTGCAGTTTGGATGGGGCAGCAAGAAAGCATCATGGAATAAGTGTAGTATTGCTACTTATGTGCATGCACAGGTATGTATGTTAGAGGCTGAAATGTTTTTTATAGTGATTTCCAGCGCTTATACAGCGCGTTATTGGGCTCGATACATAAATATTGCAGAGATTTTCCGTGTTGATTAAAAGAGCCGAGTTTATTTTGAAAGCAAGTAAAATCTTCCTGAACCCTGATGCGTATTTTAAACATAAAGTTAACGGCTAGAGAGTGAGACCAAAAATAGAAGAAGGTTCCCACCTGCTGCTGTGCTTCAGTTCAGTTCCTGATCAGGTGGACCCCCGTTGCTCTCCGTGTTTCCTTCTTCCTTCTTTCGCGATAAGCAACTTTAACTCGGCTGACTGACTGATTACCCAGCGAGAAAGGTCCAATCGTGGTACTACGAATGAGTGCAAGCACGCAATCTTCCGATATACGCAAATAATTTGTCCCACTCTTCTCACCCACGCCCAGCAGTTAGCAGCAAAGTTTGGCTACTCCGGTTACTCGAACGTACGGCTTTCTTCCCGTGTGTGTGGATTAGTGGCGGTGCAACAGTCGTTTGCGAACCATGCTGCCAGTTGTGTATCGACGCCTAGGAAATGTATGTAACAAGTGCTCAATTTGCTCACACAACTGCTATTTAGACGACCTCCTCTTCTTGTCCCCAACGAGGTTGCTGATGAGTGGCTTTCAGTGGTGTGTGCGGGTGAGGAGGGGAGAGTGAGTCTAAGATGATGGGATGGATGAACTGTGATGAAATGACACAATAAACTGGCTGTCAGCTACATCCAGATCCACCCAGCAGCAGCCTCCAGACAAGATGAAAAAGGGTCACAATAGAGTGAGAGAAAATTGAATTTTTTACGGAGTGGTCCGATGATTCTGATGATGTCGAGGACTAGGACGACGACGACGACGACGACAAGGACGACCAAGATACAATGCTCTCTCGCTCAGACCGAAACCAACTCTGCTCTCAAGTTTTGCGACGACTAGTTCACTCTACTCCGGCGGTGGTGGTGGTAGTGGGTGAAGATCCAATGATCAAGTGAGTGGGTTATGGCAGAGAGACAGAGTGTGTGAAGTCTGGCCCGGTTGAATGCTTGGCAGGGAGTGGAGTTGTTCGTAGAAAGCCCGGGTATTTTCTCCTTCCTTGGGTGACTTGGCTCGGTTTGGAGTCTGAGTTGGCCAGCTATCGATCTTCACCAAGCTTTCCCTCTACTATACCACCGTCATCAGTGCGTGATGGGACAAACGAGAGAGAAAAAGCCAGAGAGAGAAAGCGAGAGAGAGAATAACCGTACTTTCCCCTGCTCAAGTGGATCCATGTGTTTATTCCACCAACTTTCTCTCTCTTTCTCTCTCCCTCTCTCTCCTGCTGCAGTGAAAGCAACCTCCAAAGGACCCCTCGTCCACTCACGGACCAAAACACTGCTCCTGCAAAGTGGAGGTTTTAAGAGAAATAAGGGAATCAAAATGTGCCATAGAAATTGCATGGAGTCTGCCAGCCAGCTTGGTTGTTGCAACAGCTTATTATGGGAAGCAGGATGAGTAAGTAGCCGTCGACGAAGAAGGACTCCTGCCCCGTCGCGTCTCTCTCGGCGTAAACCCGTCTTTGAAAGTATGGCCATCAAAGCACGGTCTCCTCCTTGAGGAAGTCACCTCGGAGAAGAAAAGGGGGATGTAGTCTTGCCATGGGAATGAGTGAGGTGGTTTAAATGACTCATGAATCGGGGAAGACGTGTCAATTACAAGTAGCAGTGGAACGAATATAGTGTCATTTAAATCGAACACGGCGAAAGGATATGGATGGACCAGAGGGACGACGTCGTGTGATATGGGCCTGCGCTTTAAGCCGTCATCATCCATGGGTCCACCAAGTAGCAGCAAAATAGAAGAAGAAAGGATGAAGAAAGGAGAAAAGAAAGCAACAGAGTCCGATGGTTTGCCTTAATAGGCATCCCTTCAGTCCTCCGCTGTCCTCTCGCTCCACCACCAAAAGTGGAGCACACATTACACTATAGTCTGGCTTCTGACTGGCTCTCTCCACTTACTCGCCGACCTTTTGTACATCACGATTCCGTTATTTTTATACATCCGTCCTCTCACTTTTTGCAGCCAGCAGATCTCTTGTGTGGTTTCTTATAAACTTTTTTTCAATCCATTGCATTGGTCGGTGGCCCAAATCTTGTTTAATTCAGGAATGTTGCTTCTGCTTCTGCTGCTTCTGCTGCTGCTCTTTCCCAGAGAAACCGAAATCTCGTGTCGTCTCGTCCTTTCCCCCATTGCAGCCCATACATATGTACATCCAGCCAAAATACTCTCGCAATAAAGATGTTTAATTCTAAACCCGAACAACCAACCAGCCAAATGCTGCAAATACATAAGTAACCGATGTGCTGACTGTGTTGTATTCTTACAAATCGTATTCCCTTTCTAATGATTTGAATCAGCTTGTTTTGGTTTCGGACATTGCAATATAAACCAATATGCATGCAAATGGCGTCACTCTCTGGTGCCAGAGTTAATTCAGGCGACACGCATAACCTGCCCGGCTGGGATGTGTCCCTTTGTCATCAGTCGTGGTCGTGGTTTCAATTTTGCACAGTAACAATGCTCCGAATTACATAAATTCAATCGCCAAAATCCTGTGAGGATGAAGAACGCGAAATGGCGTGAAATGTGGGATTATTGCAATTCGTATGTCCCTACGTAGTAGCGAGTGGCTCTGCTTGGAAAAAGGTGCAAACTTCCCACATTGCCTCGGGCATTGTTGGAGATTGTTGAGAATCTCTAATTGATGGAATCACCTGAGTTGTACACCTGCCGCATGTATGTAGCTGGCTGTTGTACTGCAGCAGGTTCATTCAAGTAGCCTACACGGCACGGGAAAGCGATTGAAAGATATTTATTTATATGACCGCTCCAGTTTAACCTGTTTTATTGTTTAATTTACACTACGTTGTGTGTTTATATATATAATCGTAAAACAACTTCAGCCGTTTTTAACGTGTCCAACGACAGGCTTAATTCTGATATTGAGTACACAAAATCGGCGAGTATTCTACGTAATAGCGGTTAGGACGTTATCGTTACAAGGTGTTTATTCAAATTATGTGCTAAAAAGTGTATAAATTAAAGTGTAAACATACGCAATGGGCAAACATTGAGGAAGAAAGAAAGCAGGATTATTTTAGATTTTATTAGTGCTTATTACTAGGAAATTTGTCGAATATTACGATTTGTCAGTAGTTATTATGTATGTATAAGTGAAATAAATGTGTATTTATTATGATCTTGGTGAATTTACAGAGTGTCCAATTAATTGAAGAGGGTGTACAAAGTATCTCAAGCCTTATTTTCGAGGATGCCCAAGTATCCGGAACTGATTCCCAAATATGCTATGTACACACACAAATATAGCATGACGATATAATGCCCCGATTGAGATTATTTACTATCCAGTGGAAAATGTATGTTCCAGGATGCGCCGTAGAGCACATTAGGCACGCATTAACATTTGATATTAATATTTCATAACGAGAGTTGGCCAGTCAAACACGTTCCAGATCATAAAACAAGTGCATTAATATTATTTAAAGCGAGGCAAATCTACGAGCAAAAAAGACCCAAATCAGAGCAGATATTTCCCCGAATACTCAAAACCCTATCCCAAATAATGAGAACGAAATGAGTGCAAATTTTCTGGATACGGAAATGTACAAAATATCTGAAGAGGACTCCCAAGACGAGGAGGTTCTTAACAGTTTGAGCACCACGGAAGTGTTAGTCCCTCTAAGCCTGCAAACTAATCATGGAGGAAATACTAATAATAATAACAACAACGTTATTCCCCCCCTCCGAGTGAAACCAGTTCCTCCTGTGAAGCCTGCCTTTCTCCGGAAAGCTCTCACCACGAGTCTCGGTGTTGGAAACAATTCCAATAGTCACGCATTTCCTCCTCCTGTGAATGTCACCAACATCACTTCCACCAGCGGTGATACAAGTGTGACTAGTGTTCCTGCCATCGACCGTTTAATCCCACCAACTTCATCCTCCTCCTCATTCGATGAGGCCAGGACACGAAAACCCCACCTCGTCACCACCACCACCACCACCTCGGTCACAACTGACCCAGATGACGGTCAATTGGGCTGGCCCAGCAGCACCGACACCCAAAGTGGTGACAGCGGTGATGACTCGGGTGAAGTAACTAGTGAGGATCGCAACAACTTGGAAACAACGACACGACATGCGGCAACAGCAGCAACGATACAGCAACCTCCTCCTCGAGTCGTCCTTCCTCATTCCTCGCACAGGAAAATGAAAAGGCATAAACGAAGAAGAGAAAGCTCCCGAGTTGCACAAAGTGAAAATAACACCGAAGACAATGAATCAACCCAGTCTGATCAGTCATACTGCTCCTCTTGCGACGAGAGGCAGCAAAACCATCACGATGGGCACCCTTCCGATGAGGACACTGGAAGTTATTACGACGACGACGAAGACGACTCCACCGACCACTCTGATTCTGGTTCTGATGACCTCGACTTTGATGACCAAAGTGATACCGTCCTCGAGGAGGAGGTGGCCTCATTGTTGTAAGTACTACTTGGGCGGTTTGAATACTGTGAAATCTCCATTATTCATTCATGTAACTTGCGAAATTCGATTTAGATTGGTGAGAGATTGGGTGTCACAAACAGATACTTATTTTACTTATCGCAAACATATCAGAAATTTTAATTTCTCATTTCAAAGTAACAAGAATACTGTCACATTTATGATTGGGAGCATTGAAACATGTTTATATTTAGCCGTATAAAAATGACATGTAAGTATACCACGTTTAGTAAGACGTCAAATTATCATATATGAACTAAATATGGAGTCATGGAGGAACTTCTTGTGTGCATGAAGCGGCATTAGTCGAAATGAACACAGCCTGTTCTTCAAATTAGGTTAAACTTATCACAAGTGCTTCAAAACTTTGAAGTGAGTTGGCTTACAGATTTAATCCTTTTTAGCCTACAAATAAGCAGACAGACAGTTTTCCTCGTGTCTGTACATACATAATAACGGGCAGGAGAGAGACACCCCACTTGATGGAAACTTGCTGGAAGCGAGCAACTTTCCCTGGCTGGCAATCTGCTGTATCCGCACCTACACATATATTTTGTACTCCAACTTGTTCGCCACCAAACTTTCTTTGTCATTAGAGCAAAGGAGGGACGGTGGGCGGAATACGTTTGATATCGTTTTCAGCATATTAAGTATGTGTGTGATCCATATTTATGGCTTAATTGCCTAAATAATGGTTCAATCTCTGGTGGCGTAGGGAAATGGATACATTGTCTCAATACGTCCTTTCTTGGGGAAGCAATTTATGTGAATATAGCACAATATCGCCCTAAATTGGGTGATTTACAGAGTCATCAAGTTTCAAATTATGGCGAGACCCTTATCGCGACTTTATCGAAAGGTTGCATAATCTTCTCAAACAATTTGATGATGATTGAATGCGTACGTACATGTTTATGTATCAACTCGTCATAAAATACAACACTGTACTAGATGCATTTTAATGGATTATGTAAGCTTGCCAGCCAATAAAACGTTACGGATTTGTGTCCAAGCTGACATTTTAGACCGTCAACATCCATCACTGCATGAACTTCAGTTTAGGTTCGCATGTTGTACGTTCATAAACAAAATTACGTTTTCCCAGATTTAATAAAGGTTTTTGTATGGCTTTGATGGATGTGGGAAACATTTTACTTGACCATTTTTTTCGGTTTTGATAAATATTATGTGTGCAGGACCTGCTTGTAAGCTATAAGGAAAAAATTATAAATGGGCAAGGATTTTGTTCATGTATTTGTGCAGAATTTTGCCTAGTGTTAATTGGAACTCGTGTAAAAATCAAATTAAGTCATCCACGTGTCACATATATTGTAAACATTTCAATGCAAACATCCGCTTCCTATATGATTACTGCGACCTTGGATAAGTGTATATTTTCCTGCTCCTCATTTATGTTGATGAGTCGAATCCCATATAATCATGAAATTCGATTTCACCAAAGTTATCCTCCTCGACTCGACTCATTTATCGTTGACTGCAGAGCCGGGCATATTTTGCAAATTGAATTCGACAAAATTGAGCAATATATTTTTATGTGTATGTGGTTCCTGTTTTGTGCAGAACGGAAGCCGAAATCCAGTCATGGGGTCGTGGGGATGGAAATGTGTTATTGTGTGAATACGTTTCCGCCACAAATGGTCCGGAAATATTGGAGTCAGCAAATGATAAAAGTGGACTGCACAGCAAATCCAAATCCAAGTCAATCCACCCATCACTTTACTCATCAAGCGCTCCAGGCAGTCTGGAGATTGGGTCTGGACTCCATCAACCCTCAGACAGCTCAAATGGAAACAAGGGGGCCAAAGGTAACTCAATACTGATTCAAAAAATAAAAATTGCTTTGGTCCCTGTGAACTCTGCACCACCAGCAAAATTTCATTTGATCAGGGAGGAAGAGAGGTGTCAGCAGCTAAATGAGCCAAAAGGAGTAAACAGTCCGTGTAGAAAATGAGATCAGCAAATAAATATAAAAAGTGCAGTGCAACCGCAAAAACAGCAGATACCACAGAAGACTTTGATATATATATTTTTGGATTTCCAATCCGATCTGTCTACAAGAATTACTCACTTGACTCTTTGTCACGTTAAATATTTAACCCTCTTAAAAGAGAAAGCAGGGAGAGGAGTCTTGTTGAATACATATGAGAGCAGGAGGAGGGAGAAAGCTTACTTACGTAACTTGGGCAGACGAGGCGTCTAGATTATTAAATGGGACAAGTCTCACCCAGAAAAAAAACCGAGTGAATGAATGAAGTATAAAGTCCTACATCATTTCTTATCTTTCTCTCCCAACAGGTAAAATATCTCGACTGCTGAAACGAGGCACGAAACAAAAAAATGAGCGACATTTGGAAGGGTCATCCAAAATGGAATTGAGTGCCAGAAGTACGACTACGAGCAGCGTTCCTCCACCAACAGCGTCAGAATTGACGACGACAACGACGGAAAAGGAATCGTCCAAGAACATACTAAAACCTTGTGGTGCCAATAAAGTGTTCCGCTTCAAGGGTGAGTGTGCATATAATAAAAATGTAATGGATAAATGTACTTAATTCATAAACTAGGGTTGAATGCATGCAAATCTAACGACACCTACAAAACAATTCTTACTGCTTGTTCAAAATAAACTGCAGGGCCTCTGGGTAAAAGATGAGGATAAAGGAGTGGTATTCAGCGGCATGCTTTCTTGCCAAATTGTAATCTTGTGGAGAAAGTTCTGCTTGCTTCTTTTTACTCGCTGAGACTATCATTCAAGGTTTAAAATTTATATAAGTTGAAAAATCCAAAATTCTTTCGTAGTTCTTAACTTTCGTAATTCTTAACTTTTAGTCTTTCCATAAGACAATAAAAAAATGAACAAAAAAATAAATGCCAAGATGAGGTTTAACTATATGACCGTAAGCTTAACTAGCTTGAACTGCTTTGCTCATCATTGAAACCGTGCTTATGTTAATAAGTAGCTTGAGCATATTACTGTAAAATGTTGCATCTTTCCACAAATTCTGGTCTATCTCAGGATTGACAAAAACACCGTTAATTTCTTTATGGATGTACGACGGACCTTAAGTCTCGTAGTCCATCAAAATAAGGAAATTGACGGCCAATAGTTTTGGAGAAATTTTCTTTTTCCACAATTTTCTATGCTCTGGCTTTCGCCATTTTCCACAATTTTCTAATAGATTCAATATTTATTAATAATTTGCTTAAGCAGTTGGACAATTAATAATTATTTTGCTTTCTGAACTTATAGGAGACTGGGGTACACGAGTAAATGAAACGGAGCATGAGGGGGAAATTCGCCTCGTGGACTTGTTCATCAGGTCGACCAGTAAGCACAACTTGGGGCGGAGAGCAACCATGGTGGAATCTTTGTTGGGCATCGTTCCCAGCAGATTTTCATCTAGAACTGCGAGTGACAGGTCGAATTCCTCCAGCTCGGTGAGTTGCAACAAATTTCACAACCGAAAGAGAGTGAACTCTGCGGCGGTGGTGGTTCCGTAGGTGCATTAAATTTTGATATGAATAATCACTGTGCGAAAGACGAAATCTTTCTTGGAGGAAACCCTTCCTTACATTTAGAATTATACTCGTATGTAAGCAGTACAATCATGACGATTCACCATTCTGCACGTCACAGCAGAGTTTAGAAGACTGCACTAAACGGATGAAATGGATGAATTTCCAAAGTTGATTATTTCAATTTCCTCACAAAAGAAAAAAACTAGATAGAAGGAGACATATTTACCCACGAATTTCTGACTTTGCGACAAACCTTTGCTTCTTGGGTACATATCCAGCTTAAAAAAATGAGTCATCGTTCGTTCCCTCGTTCGTATTTTGTAAATGTCAACTTGATCAAGGAGGACGACGAAGACGTCTAAAAGCTTGATGCACGCAAGGGCTGTCCCTTATTCTTCTCGTCTCTTCATCATGTTGACACATCCAATAGGACGACTCGCTCTGTTTAGGTTTTGATAATGACGGGAGTAATGTGACAACGAGGAGCAGCATGCGGGAGATAAAGAGCATGGTGCATTACAGTTGAATCCGTTCCCAGGCAATCTTACATACGAGCGAATATCATACATACACTCAATACTTTTTGGGAGCCGCCGCAAAAAAATATACGGCAGCGGGGAGAAAGTTGGAGAAAGTTAGTTTGAGCCTTGAGCAGTTGGAGTGATGGCAGGATGCACTTATCTTTAGTAAAATCCGGAAGCTTTGTGGTACACGTTTCTGCTGCTCTAAATTGCAGTAGATGAAACTCGTCAAATTCTTCTCTTTGCTGTGGTAATGGACTTCCTCTCCTATTGTCGACTCATTTATTAAAGACCTCGTTCCATCCTCCTCACTATATGTGCACTGACTGGGGCAGAGGAGGGGGAGGTTTTGGGCGATTAAATGCATACATGCAGAGAGATAGAGAAAGAGAGAGCAAGTCACACTTTTATGCCAAAAATTTGAACGATTCTTCCTTCCAAAAGAAGATGAATGACGAGCAATTCATCAAAACCATGTTCCTTGTGCAGATATAATCATAGATAAGTTCAAATCTATAATATAACCACTCATCGAGAGAGAGTTTTATTACTTCAAGTCATCAATTGAAATATATTCCAAGGTTTATTTATGTCACATCCAGTTTAACAATTTCTCCACTTTTACAGGTTGTTGGTATCCAGAAGACTGACGACAAGAGAATAATGGTTGCAGGATTCATACCGGATGGACCTGCTGCTAGGAATAAACAAATCAAAATTGGTAAGCATTTCCCACACGAGACTATTGCCACGTATGAACATGCATTCATTTCATAACGTCGAACTGCACACATCTTTTTTCAGTTCGTTATTATCATCTCAGCATAAAAAAGTATGCACGGTCCAACTGACAGAGAATGCATGGTGATCTATATGAATTGACTGCTCCACCGTTTCGTACGTACGACTCGGCCAGGAAAACTCGCTGTTGTGTAAAATCGAGTTTCTCGCATTGTAAACTTGAGCAATACTCTTTATCATTGGATTCAATAGCTCTCCGCCGTTGAAACTATGTCGCAAAACATTTCATGAGAATTGATTTTTCGAATAAGATTTGACGAAAACAATTGAGGCAAAATGATTTCTACGCTAGCATCGATTATTCGCGAGTGTCGCGATTCACCGAGTCGAGGAATATATTTGTGTTAAGAATTTGAATTTCAAATTTACGTTTTCACAGCTGAGAAATTTTGTTGGGTAGTTGGGAATGCGAAGGCTCTTCTTATCTGTCATTATTAATAATGGAGCAAATATCTATCTGGCGAAGCATCTTTTCATAATGCATAACTCACTCACTCACCGTTCGTTCGTACGGTTTTTTTCTTTCGAAGCAGTCAGTCTCCTCACACCTTTGGCGAGATCTTATTGTTGGCTGATATTTTATGTATTGCGGTCACGTCACTGGTCTCCAGCTTTTGTTGTTTTTTTCCATCCAATACCTTATTATTACTGTAATGAACACCCGTCTGAAGGCGTGTACAGAAATTGGGTATTCTTATGGGATATTCTCAATATTTGTGTTAATTAGCAGCGGATAAGGTTAATATTTTTCTTGCTGAACCCAGAGGAAAGGCATTATTTTAATGAATGCTTCCAGTGGATGGAACAACTTGATGGAAAGAGGGGGAGGCAAGCCAGCTTATTGAGCATATTTGGTAAATACACGGCACATCAGAGTGAGAAGAATGTACGTAATGGAGGACGTTGGGAAAAATGAAAGCAGACATAAATTGAGGGAGAAGATGGAAAAGTGAATTCCAATACTGCTCCTGAATATTACTCCTCTCCTGTCCTCCTTTTTTCAATCCGACTTCTTTCCAAATCCACTTCACTCAGCGACTCTGTTTCCTCAGTTGACACAAAATATTCTCACCCGTCATGTGTGAACTTTGTCTCATCCTTCAACGTCAAGGCGAAAAACGTGTAAGGGGTTGTCCACCCTCATTGCCACTCATACTTGTCTTATTGCATTTGTCAAACTGTTCCCAAGACGAAGGAGGTACGAGAGCCGGGTTTGAAATTCGTGTCCTTTTCTGCTTGCGAGAAGTGGTTTCTCCGTGAAATCTTTACCCAAACTTTGTCCCGACTACAAAGGACGGAAGGAGAAGAAGACGTGTAAAGTATATTTCTCTGGGTGAAAATCCTAGCAGGGAAAGAAGGGATTTGCTGCTTAATTGGCACCGAGCTATTGCACACCCCTCGTGTCGTCGTCGTCGCCGCTTTCTCTTTTCCACCAGACCCACCACCACCACCACCACCACCACCAAAGTGCAATATACGGGATACATACGACGAGCAACACAAGGTTCTCATCCCAATTTTGTTTCGATTATACTCGTCCTGTCGTGTTTTTGCCTTGTGTGTGCCCTCGTTTTTTTTGAGGAGGAAGAAGAAGAAGCGACCCTTCTTTTTGTCTCTCTCGCCTCCTTGAAAGATTCCAAGCTGTTTATGATTCCCAAAATTGCACTCTATCCATTCTTGCATATGGCACGGCAGATTTGTGTGAAAGAGAGGAAAGGGAGGATAAGTGAGTGAGTGTGTGTTCGACTGACTGCATGGGTGCGTAGCAGAGGAGGACGACACAAAGGTGAAAGGTGGCTGGCTGGCTGGGTGAAGAGGGAAGAGGAAATATTATACGAAAGGTGGGTCATATCTACTTCTTGAACTTATTCAAATCGAGAGAACTGCCAACGGCTGAGCTTCTTGATGACCTGGTGGATCAGTCGTGGATGTGGAAAAGGTACTTTATTTATTCGGTGGTGCCATTCTCACCCGTGTGTTGGCTGCGTTGTCTCTCTCGCCAGGATGGCAGTGAGGTATCGCTGCTGAGGAGGAGGAGGCAAACAATCTTAAGGCTTCCACTCGTCACATTTGGCTTGACAAATGTACAATAAAGAGAAGTAGGCAGGGGAAATTTTGCACATTTGTATTAACGCCGAGAAGCTATAAAAAGAGGTAAATGATAGACTCGTCGTCGTTCTCATCTTGTTATGCTTCGTTGGAAGAAGTCAAGTTGTATGCGAGTCTGCTTTGATGTATGTAGCAATATTAAACGAGTGTAACGAGCAAACATACATAAAATAGGTCACGTAATTTGGTACTGTTTTTTAAACGCCTTTTTAGATGCGCATGAAGCATTGGGCGCAATTTATGATTTATTCTTTCCAAATGTCTACTCCAGAATTGTTAATTTTCCCGATTCTCCCATCCTTTCTTTCTTTCATTAGCATTCAAATAATTTTTTGGCCATGTGAGGATGGCGTCGTTCATTCGTTATTGGCACATATTTTTCGATTATTTTCTCCCAATATATGCGGAAAGTGTGGGCGCCTATGTTATGATATTGTACCATTTTATGATAGTTGAATGGAGATTTAATTTTGATAGTGGTTGTCGACAAAATGAATTGGGACCTGGTTTGGTGGAGCATTTCCCTTCACACTCAATTACCTCTAAAATAATGACTTCTTTTCTTGTGTTTTGGCACATTCACAAATTTTATGATGTCGTTGTCACCGTACTCAATAATTTTATAGTTCTCCATTATTTGATTGCAGTTTTTATATTCTTTTTCTTGCGAGTCTATTCCTGCCAAGGACACACGAACCGAAAACCAGTCGCTCGATTCATATCGCATTCATATGACGATTGGCATAAATTTGGTGTCCTTTCTCAACAACAAAGCGTCGTACTTAATGCAGCTTGGCACGCCTTCACTACATTGCATTATTAAAACTATTGTTGTTTTTTGAAAATAGCCAAATATTTGCAAGAATCATAACCAGGGTGGTCAATTTATCAAGTGAAAGTCATTGGGGCAAAGTGAGAGAGAAAGTGAGTCTGCCACCTTATTTCTCATTTCTCGTCTCACGCACTGTATTATTGGTCATAAAGAGTTTACCCATGATCGTGCCGTGTTCCAGCGTGTGCGAAGGTCAGCCCAAGTCAATCGAGTGAAATTGGATGACGTAAGATCTTAATCTATAACTCTCCAGCCGGTATTTGACCTATTTGACGAGGAATGGAAAATCTGAGGAAATGGAAAAATGGGCTTTGTGTGTTGCGTAATCCTTGGGGATCAGAGATAGACAGGCAACATTTGATGGCTACTCAACAATCCACTCTACTTCCTTGATTGAGACAAATGTGTGCTAACTGGGGATACCAGAGGGAGTCTTCCAACACAATGCGATAACCACCGCTGGGTCTTTCCACCACGACCGCCCTGTTATCCTCCTGGCATGCCTGATTATTTTAAGTTCTCCTCCTCCTCCAAGATGTGATCATCAATTCTCTCCCACAGCACCACCACCACGCATTATGTTAGTTAAAATTGGAGTAATTTGTATCCTCTAGCTCTGTCAATTACTTTAGTGTTGGCTAAATTGGTCTAAATAGGGTCTCATTTATCAGCAAGTCTTTAATTTTCGTGTCACTTGTTTTCCTCTCCTGACTTGCACACATATGTGCATACGTTCCTCGAGCCGAGACTGGTGTGGGAGTGCAAGCAGGTTTTCCACATATAATTGGATTCTGAGTTCCTTTTGTAATATTCTCTCCCTCTCTCGTTCTCGATTTCCTCACATTCTAGTTGAACAATTCAGACCTCAAAATGTGCTCCTCTCTCTCTATACGTGGCATGTCATATGCTGTACGCACATGAAAATTAGCAATACGGAACATTTGACTTGCACAAAACCGTTGCTCAAGCGTGAAGATAAAGATTCTTTGTTGTTTACAGGAGACTGGTTGCAACGAGTGAATGGCATTTCAGTGGACTTTTCCAATGTCAACGCTACCCTCCTTCAAATCCTGCAGCAGGAATCCTCCGACAATTTCGAGAACCCTCTCAAAGTAAGTCGGCCAATAATTCCTATCCATAAAAGGCATGGAAAATATCTGGGGAAATATCATGGGAGCTCTTTGTACGATTAATTGATGATGATACGCAACTCTTATCACGAATTACAACGTTAGCTTTAAAATTTCAGCTTTTAGAAATTTTTCAAATTCTAGCCCAATTTTATGCAACAGGGTCATGAAATGATGACTTGTTTGAAATGCCTGCGGTTGAATTTGAGTGGTACTAAAAATCAGGAGGATTTCTCCTGATATCCACATAAGTATCCGTCATTAAGTTGGTAGGTTGGGGGGAGTGTTGCTTTGATGATCGTCCCGACCGTGATGATGGATGCCGACGTAGATACTCATTGCATTGTTGGTAAGCAGGATTTGCGGGTTGGAGAAAGCGAGCATTAAACGAGTGGCGTCTACACCGTGCCATTTGTGCCGTGAAAGTGATGTGCACAGCAGATCTCATCTCATTCCTACTCAATATTCTCCCTATTATCTGAGCCCATGAATGCTCGTCCGTCGGTCCGTGGGTCCGTTGGTCGGCCTTTCTTCGAAGAGGCGGCAGCGACGGTATATAATGCAATAAATTATCAAGCGGAATCGTCTTTGGGGAAATCAGCGGCTGATGAGTTCGGCCCAGGAATCTATATCGCAAGAGGAAACCCACTGACGAGAGACTCTTGCTCCTTCCTTGCTGCCTCCTCCTCCAGTCAGTCGGAGTAGTAGTATTTCCTTTAATACCGTAATTTCCTTGAGGGTACAAGAAGTCAGATCGGTGAAAGCCAACTGTTGGAGAGAGGAGATAGCGAGTTCACGCGCCACGTCACCTCTCCACCATCACCACGACACAAGGAATATTCATATTATGCTCGCAATAACTCACTCTTTCCGTGCCTGCCAATAACTCCAATTACTCTGCTTAACTCCCAGGAGGCATAATTCAAGCAAAATTTTTCACCCAAATTCTTGGATTCATATTGACATACGTAATATTAAACGCTTCTGATGGCTTTCTCCTTGATGCGTGAAAATTTAATATTTTCCCATTTTTCTACTTAAGAATAAACATTATCGCTTTTCAGACTTGAGCATAATTTTTTCATTTTCTTCTCCAGTATGAAAAAATAACACGGTGGTGAGGCTTCTTATTAGGGAAACAATAATATACTCTGGGCGGTTGGTTGGTCTTAACTACTCATTTTTCGGGTGGTTGGTGAAAGCAGTCGAGTGGTGGTGGTGGTGGTAAGATGTAATCAAACCATATTTTTGTGGTCTACTTATTGCAGAAAAGTTTTCTATATTCTGTCCGTAGTTGGCTCATTTTCCATCAAGAACTCCTGATCTTGTGAGGTAGGAGTGAGCACGTCTCACTTTCCTCGGGTTGCTTGGTCATAGCCGGAGCAGTGGTAGTGAGTCGTCTTGTTTCAATTAAACTTACGATCAGAATCAGCACTGAATTCCTCCACAGAACGCCAACCACCAGGCCAACTTTTGTATGTAAGAGGAGCTAAAACACAAGTCGAGTTAATTGCAATGAACCCAACTCCCTTAAATTCCCGTGAGATTATCTTCTCAAAAATTGTTATTGGCAGTCAAATATTTATGTGGAGAACAAATGTCTGGTTGCTGGCAAAGTAGTATAATTGTGGGCTTACTCACTTGTGGTAGTTGGGCAGTTATTTATATATATATTATTTAGTAGCAAAGGATAAACGTACGTACGTATCTACGTAGCATGGGTTACGTACTATGTACTGACGACTACTAGTTACTACTACTTTTCCTCGTCTTCCTCCCCTCAGATATATAACATATACATAAAAAAGTGGAGAAAGTTGGCCCCATGTATTTACGGCTTTCAAGGCTTAACTTCTTCTTTCACATGAATCGAAGTGAATAAACGTGGAGTGGATTTCTATTCAGGAAAAACTGCTGGGTTGGCTGCAAAAATAAATTGAATAAGGAAAGTCCGCGTAGTAATAGTCGCAGTGGTAAGGCAGAGTAAGTAAGTAGTAGGTTTCGGCCTCTGGGGAGATGAATTTTGAACTTTCCTCCAATATCTTGGGAAATTTTTAAACAAGTTCATTAATTTTTAGAGTATTTCCACCCAGCCAACTTTCCATTCACCTGATGAAACTCGGCGGCGACGACGGCGGGCAAGAAAATCAGATAGTGTAGATATGCTTTTAAGATTTAATGACGTTGTGCAACTTGGACTGGAGTTTGCAAGATTATTAAAAGTATTAAACGTAGTATGATTCAAAATTTAAGTAGATAGTTTGGAAAGTAGCAGGAGTAAAAACGGGATATCTGATATAAAAATAGTGGAATAGACAAGTATAGAAACCTAAACTGCGTAGCTGACAAAAATTATTTTGGTCCTAAGTTTACACACATTTGTATTTTTTTGTATTTCTCAAAGAAATACGTCAGATAAGGAAAGTTAATTTCTAATTCTGAATGAAAAAGTCCATCCTCCTCATCAATACAAATTTGACCCAAGTTTCCGACCTCTGATCGTGTATTGTGCACATTTTGTACACGTATAAGAGTGAGGCTGGGCAATAGGATGCAGTTGTGGCAGTGGAGCCGGATTTATTTTATCGGGAAACCTACATAAAAGCTAAAACTTGCTAAAAGTTTGTGAAAGTAAAACTCAAATACGAGATGATCCAAATGAAATTCAAATGAGTTTCACTTTTCTCCAGTTCAATCTCATCCGAATTCTCTCTCCTGCTCTGGGCCACCACTATCAACGACGCACAGTTGCCGACCACAAAATGACGAAAATAATGTTATGTCTCCGCCTTCCGATGTGCCACATCCTCTCATTTTTCATCATCTTCGCCAGAGAAATATAAAATGCTACTTCAAATCCACTATGCGAGCAATAATGAACCCCACCAATTCAACCAGCCTTTATCAAACCTTATTTGATGTCGTGTATAAAATATTTGTGGAGAAAGTCGTCCAAAATTAGACATCAAATTGACTTTTATAAACCAATATAAATCATGTAGTATGCGAAAGTGGAGTCATGTAAAAACGTGGATATTTTCCAATTTCAGGTGTCCCTTGAACTGCAAAGAGTTTCTGGATACACGATAACCGATACGCCGACAAAAACGGTGGTAGGTTCCCTCTCTTCTTAGCACTTATCCCTTGTTCATATTGAACTGGACGGTTTACAGGGAATTTTAGCTAATTTTGACGTCGTTGTACTTTAGACATTCGGAGACCTGGTGTACGATGGGAGTCCTTCCGAGAAGCAGCAGCCTTGTGGCGTCAAACCCACCACGGATAACAACGAGCTACCTATTGAAATTTTGTCAAAAATTGCGGTCGTTTATATTTCTGCTGTTAACACGTCGCCGCCGCCACCGCTGTCCGTAAATTCAAAGGTAGAGTAATTTTGTATGCCTAATTTCATCCACATTCGAAACATGAATGCAATTTTTTGTTGGTAGCAAAATCCTTAATTTACATTTATATGGCAAACTTTTCACATCTGTTTGAAAGGAGTTGCACAGATTCGAATTAAAATTTACAGCACACGCCACAAAAAAACCTGTGTACAGCTTTTCTCGAAACCCGAAAGCAATAAAAGTAGAATGTTCAACTATTAGTTCTTTCTCCTCTGTGCGACAACAAAATACGAGGTTTTCAATGATCTGGGCTTGGATGTTGTATCGCCAACGTGACATTTGATAAAAACTGCTCCATTGGTCTCGACAGAGCGATGAATCTGCTACGGAAGAAGAAGGGTTTGTGTGTTTGACGTTATGCAGGTCGAATCCAGGCCCCAGGAGACTCATCCGAATTCTGTAGTGCAGTGAAATCAATCGTGAATTGTGATTGCGGTTTCAGGTTGCAAATCTTCTTGACAAATCAAGTGGAGCATGAGACAACGACGAAGACAATAATGCGAAGGAAGCTGAAACATCGAGATACACACATTCGCCTACGTCCTTGACAATAAGTGATTCCAGCCAAATAAATTGTGTACAAACATGTATAGATATAAATTTGTAAATTGGGGTCCCGAAATTATTCCGGAAGGAAGATATTTGTACTTTGATACCAAACAGAGATATCATTTTTATAAAATAGTAGCAATAATAAATGGTCGTTTGCTGTATGTGTATACTTGAAATCCACAAATACTGAAAAGATGCGTGTATTTACATATCTAAAAAAATAAAATAAAAAGAGTCTAATCAGATTTTAATTCATTTCAGGACAAGACAAAAGACGTGATATTTTCATGGCCGTCCGACTCAGACTTTCGCAAGGTGAAAGCTCTCGTCGCCTCACATGGGATGTTTTCCACACTTTATAAACTGCTCAAAGATGTAACGGGATCGCATCCACTTGTGTAAGAATGCACTTTATCACTCATAGACACATTTTTATATCAACCACTTCTCGCATTTTTTGAGTGGCGAGACCATTAGGAAAAAATAAGATGGGCGTAACAAATACTGAGTTGCACAAAGATGCACAAGATAAAAAAAGTATAGTTTGTTAAATTTACTTGGCTCACTGAATTGTGCGGCATCCTTGGAACGGAGAACTATAGTTTAGGACAGGCCGATATTTATCCCCACGCCCTAAACTATAGCTCTATTTATACATTTTCTTAAGGGTTTTACTGGTGTTGATTTCTTGTTTCCGTAAGAAATTGTGTTTCGTTCCACCCCAAAGATTTAGTTGAAGTTGATTCAGCGATATAACGTTTCCTTGATTGATTGAATGAGAGAGTGAAAGGATTAGTCAGCCCATTTAAGGAATATATGTAGCAGACAGTGTTAATTGAAAGGAGCCCGTGTTAATATTCTTAATCCGTCTATATCACTGCCTATCTGGGTCACAGAATCAATAAACCTTGCAAAAGGATCACAGGCACTTGTGCTTAGCTTTATTGGATTCGACAGACCCGTCCGTCGTGATGTGACGTGATGATACGATGGTCTGCATGGGTCGTTAAATGAGAATGGTTTTACTAGACTCTGCGGCTCATGTCGTGTTGATAAGCTGCTTGTCTCTTATTACGTAAACAGTGCGAGGAGATGAATAATCTTGGTCGCTAAGCAGGCTGGGGGCAGAATGCGATTATGTAGTTCTTACGTCTCGTCTCGTGTAGTTGGATGTGTATCTGTATTCCTTACTACAAACAAAACGATGCGATGATGAGTGAATGGCTGTGTGAGATGTATACACATATAAGTATTTTGAGTTTTATATTATTATCCAGATCTCGGGTGATGATTGATGACGAAGAGATGGACGTCGTCTTCTCAAGTGACGATGAAGGGAAAAGTCTACTCCTCCTTGGCACGGCCACTGTGCTCTCAAACTTCAACATCTGCCACTCTGCTTCTTCTGGAGAAAGCAGCTCCTCCAGGAAGGAAAAGAAGCAGCTACGATGGTATGTACAAAACCATGCACTTTTCACATGTCCTTAGTGAAATGGACACCAACCATGGCATTATTATCACGGGTGCAACTAATGCGAGTCGTGAAGTGGTGGCAATCCAACTATTTCCCAGTATAGCACCAGTATGTGTATATGTACACTAATGGATATCTTTGAAACGGAACAATAATCTGTCTGACGGAGTGAATGCATTAGGCTGAGAGAGTTGCAGGAGGAGAGAGTGTGTGTGGTATTTGGATATTATGTACGTGCTGACACTCGCAGTTATGTTTCTCTCTCTCCAAGAGAAGCAGGAATATTCGGATGATTGTTCATCGGCTGGTTAACCAAGTTGCAAATGACTTGTTCTCATTTTACGAATGTTGGTCGTCGTCTCTTTATTTGCAGGAAGGATCCCGTGGATGGAGGCTTGGGGTTAGCGCTGCGACTAATGACCCGCGTCTCGACTCTCCTCAAGTTCCAATTTGGGAGTTTATCTAGGTAAGAAACTTTGTTCCGTTTACTTAACCACAACTACAAACTCGACGGGTTGAAGGACGCGGTGTAATCATTTGTTAAAATCCGGGTTTAACATGACAAAGCAAAGCGCAAAGGTTATGCTTATGTGAAATCTATTATTACACATGTATCCGTAAGATCCAGGGAACGTGGGCATGCAAGTGGAGCTCTTTTGGATTGGGAATTAATGAGAATTGAGATTTATGTAGGAGTAAGTCTCCTTCCTAGCAATCATTAGATTTCTCTCGGCCAATGATTGCGAATCTGTGCAAAACCAAAGCGCTACATTTTCTCATATTTCAAAATGAGAGAGTGAGGGAGAGGGAGAGGTGAATAATTTATACAAATCCTAGTCTAACAAGAATAATGCAATAGTAACGTCAGCGCTGAGTCGAAATTTAGACAGCAGAAGAGAACTTTCTTCTTTTAGTCGTTCATTTGGTGCGGTGGCGTTATTATGGTCTCACACTTTGTGAAATTAATTAGCAGAAGCCACAATTTGATATTTCAACTAGCGCATATGTACCAGAATAGATTCATAAGTTAATTGTTATGCAGCAATTTCCCCAACCACTATTTATGACCACCGGATAGGTGATTACATAAATAAATAAATTGAAAAGCACCTTGTACATCAAATTAATAAAAGTTGGCTTTGAGAAATGCATAGCAGGCAAGGAAAGAGGTGTGTTTACGGTGTAAAGCTATCTACCCTGGAAAAATACGCTGTAGAAAGAAACCAAATCTGTATAATAATGTTAAAGGTTTGAAAGCAGGGTAAGTGGACCATCAATTATTCATCTTCGCACCAAGTGAATGGACGAGGAGTGAACTACTGCACTTTTCGATATTTTTTATCATTGTAGATCTAATCAAGCGAACCACCATCCATCAACGTCTTTTTCAAAGGTTTGGTGGTAATTCATCATTGACTGGGGAAAGTTTTGTTATAAAATCCACTTTCACCTCAAATCATGCCCTCTCTTTCTCCCTCTCCATTTCATTTTGTACATGGTCCAAGTTTCGCCTGCAATCAGGTGGTGGTGGACTAAATTACTCATGAATGCTAGCGATGACATTTCTGAAAGTAGTAGCCGATTCAGCTGCAGACAGGAATCTTAAAATGAATCTTGGGCTATAATGCGTTGCAAAAAGTCACACAGAGAGAGGTAAATTCAGACTCGAACTAACCTTGCCAACTTATTTTATACAATTTCAGAGCTTTCCAAACTATGCCAGAGGAGAAACTCAATCACTTTTTTACATTAGCACTCGCGGGGTTAAACGATATTTCCGAAGACTTTTTGTTCCCTCAAGTGCCAGAATATTTCCTCAGAATTCCTCCATTAATTCGGGTAAGTTTCTGGATTGTTTGCCTATAACTTCCGCTTCATTTTGCTAACTTTTGTTTTTATGTTATTTTATATATTATTTCTCTATGTATCCAGTGTTGGATTGATGAACGACTATACGCTTTCGAAACATCCGACTCGTTTGCCCTGGTACGTATTGATCATCTTTAATATTATTAGTAGTATTGCTAGATATTGCTACATACGAACTTTGCTAGGAAAAAAATCATGTCGGGTAATTGAAGATAACTTTGTGCAAGAGGGGATCCCCTTTCTTCGAAGGAGAATAAATTCATACGAGAGCCTGGTTGCCTCTCCTCCTCATTTGTTTGTATTTCATTTTAGTGCTCCGGAAGAAACTCAGAGTTGGAAAAGCCTCTGTTCAACTGCCTCGGCTCCTGTTTATACTACAAGGTGAGTTACTTTCTTTCTTTGAACCCTCTTTTTCCGTATTCTGACTTTTTTATGAGAGACGTACACCAACTGGAAACAATGAACCCCATGCAACCAACCGAAAGCCCTCATTTCGCTTCAGAAATTCCGAAACTGGGAGTTCCGCTACTAATTAATCTTACATTTTTGGAGTAAGGTCACATAATTCTAGACCACGAGATAAAATCATGTCTCCCGCATACCTATTACATACCTGTCCTATTCCGAAACTAATTGCAGGCGGCATTTGTTAATAATGAGTTCTCTGCAAAATGCTATCATATTTATGGAGGAACCATGTAACTTGCAGTTGTAACCAATTTCTTTTTAATTGGGCTGCTGGTTCATTCGTTATGCATGTAGATCTGACTTTTTTTCCTGTACAACGAGTTTTTCTAACGGCAGCAGCAGCAGCCTGACGAACTGAGAAAACATGTGAATTTTGTCAAACTCGTGTAGTGACATGGTTGTAAACATGGTGTTTTATACAGGGAATGCCGGTAGCATCGCATTTGGAGCGGACCTTGGCATCTCATTTCCATGGCCTTTGGAGAACCCAGCTTGGTTACTGGAGTATCAAGCGTAACACGCTCCCGTACGTCTGGAAGCCGCTAAAACGCTTGCTTTTCTGCCAGGAGACCTTTCTCTACAACCAAAATGCAAATCTAGACCAAGATGAAGCTTTCTCCGCTGATAACAAAAACTGTCAGCAACCATGTTGGTCTGCCCTTGTTGGCATTGTAAGTCTATCTCAAGACGTCAGATTTATAACCCGTACCATTTCTGCATACTATACTTTCTCCTTCGCCCCAGTGATGTTGGCGATAGAGAAAGTTTCTCATTTTCCTTGATATTATAATTACTTGGAGTAAAATATTTAAAAATTCTGCCAAAAACTTTAATACAATTACTTATCGTTACCATAATCCGATGAGAATATTCAAATCTAGAGATTCTCAGAGTTTTTACTATGTTTCCTTTGTAACAGAATGCACTAAAAGTCAAGGAATTTTGGTATTACGTAGTAAAGCAATATGCAGCAGGCTTTAATAATTTACATTATTTCAGGGTAACTACATGCTTGGAATGATTCTCGAACCCGCAACCGTGGAGAACAAGTAAGTCGTTTCATTTACTGCAATTACTTCTCGCTGCCCTCGCCCTTCTTAGAAAATGAAATGAAATTTATGGATAATAATGCGAGGAGGATTTTTTAATGAAGGGACAAGACCCACAGTCGTCAAGTATATGAATCATAGGTTTTTTATTACATATTGGATATTTATGCGGACAAGAGTGCTCATAAAACTTGACGCGTGATATGGTATATGGTCTCATTAAATTTATATTATGCTAGATACAACTCTCCTACTTGCTACACTTTATGACGTGCATATCCAGGTCTATGTGCGTATATATCCACAAAGTACAAAACTGGCTACATGTCCTCAAAATGACAAAATATTTTCTCTGCCAAGAGATAAATAATATAATTGTAAATCAATGTTGGTGACAACATTTGTTACGCAAGAAATGGAAATCCATTTTCATTAACTATTTCTAAGTTTCCAAGTCAAAAATTTATAACTTTTTATGAGAGAGGTATTCACCACTCAGTCAGTCATGTTCCGGTTTTAGCTTGCATCAATGGATATGATTTTAATATCACAAGGTAAATATTATTGCGTGCTGGGAGGCACTGTACTTCAGAGGTTCGCATGGACATGGTTATTTAGTATCTAATATGAAATGGAATGAAAAATTGAATGGAGGAGCGAACGGAAACGGAGGGGAAAGGATAATAATACCCTATAGTTAGGCACACTCTGAAGATATTCTTTGCTTGCATGCTTACAAAAGTATTTCTTATCAAAAATGATCATGCTCATGTTGGATGACAGGCGAACATGAATGCAACTTTAATTTATTACTCTGCAGACTTCCCAAACCAGACCCTGCTTGGGTTCAACGCGGATTTAATTGCGTCCTCCGGATTCTAAAGAGTGAAATTGATCCTTCCTTGGAAAGATGGATACTCTCCCAAGAAAAAGAGTTCATTGAGTTGTACCCGCCCTCGGGCTCTGCCAACAAAACCTTTTTGGCTGGTAAAGAACATGGTTGCTTTGCCATAATTTTGCTAGAGTTGCAAAATTATGGTTGCATCGAGCAAAAAATACGTTATGTTGGTGGCGAAAATAATTAAATTATGACCATTTTTCAGGTACATCAGCAACAACGGCGACTCATACTGTTTTACCAACTCCGCCACCGGGTCCGAGTGGAATCCTGAAGAATGCAGAACCTCCAAATACGTCTGCGGAATTTAGTAGGACAGGACCTCCCATTTCGGAGAGCATGTCATCCATACCTCACACAATGATGGAGGAGAGAGGGCTACAAAGGTCATCCCTTCGCGACTACAGTTACCATTACGGTCTCTCAACTACTACGACTTTGGCTGAGCGACAGGAAATGAATTACGGGTCAAACGAAGAGGACGAGGTTGAGGAAACCACAACTGGGACGGGGAGTGATACCAGTTCATTGAAATGGGTAAAACTAGTGGTTTTCTAGGGATGCATAGTTCTAACTAATAGTTGGTCACATTTGTATGCAAATTTTGCTTTGTTTGAAAGTGCCTGGACGACTCGTCACGGTACAATGAGGGATATATTGACGAAGAGATAAAGACTATGAGGTAAAGGTCATTTTTATCGAATAATGAGACTGGTTGACACTTGGGTAAATTTCATAATTTCTGACTTTCCACAGTGTTACAAAGGGAAACGTACTGTTTGACTTTCTACAAATTGAAGCTGGTCGTTGTGTACTGCTGAGCTCAAAGGACATGGTAGAAGGTCCGTTTTCTGTCGTGGTGCACAACTTTCGCCAAAGTGTGACATTGACTCATCATATTTTGAACAAGGCTGCAAACGGGAGGGTAAGAAAATTCATACATTTGGACTCGAGTAAGGTGACTGTAATATTGTATTTGTTGGTCTAACTTGTAGATGCGATTAAGCCGGCAAATGAGTGATAAAAAGTGGGTGAGTAAAGCACTAGCGCCGATTTCGGAGCATGGCGTTCTTTTCAATTGTGATGCCGTTGATCCTCGAGATGTGCATAAAAAGAAGCCAAGACTACGCCAAGTGTCGTACTGGGTCGTCGGCAGAATGTATCCTAATCAAAGGGAAGTCTATCTTTGCTACCAAGACAGTTCAGTCACTCAAAACTTGATTGAAGTAGCCTTTAAACTTGCCTATTACACTGCGTAGGGTATTTTGTACACAAAGAAGCAGCTGCAGCAGTGATTTCTTATTTTATACGCAGTCATAATTAAGCCAGTACATTTTTATGCTAATCAAGAAAGATTTTGTATATTGATTTTTTATAAATGGATAAAGGATTCCCATTATTTATTTTTATATTTTAGTCAGGTAAAAGACAGTCAGGTCTATGTCAGAGTGGGAATATATTTGATATATGATATAAATGTAATATAGCGTTGAATTTGTCACGAAAACGAAAAACGAAAAATAAATAAATGAATGCTAATGTGATTGTGCAATTTCTGAGAAAAATAACAATATATCTTCTATTGTGAATTCTAATGTGATTTTTGCCCCAGGGTAACAACGGCTAATTAGACTTTCGATTGATTTGTACTGAACGATAAACTCTTCCTGCATCGCCCTCCAAACCACCTACACAAAAAACAAGTAGTCTTAAATATTTAACCAATATAAATAATGGAGTAGTATTATTACCTGAAGAAGACTTTCATCTTCTGATAAATGTTTTTCCACCTTCTTGTACAGGGATTCTAAGCCTTTTTTAACTTCCTTTGCCGGATACTCTTTGATGACTCGTTTTAATTCTGCTCTGCTAAAAGCCATTTGATATCCAATTTCGGATTCTTTGACACCTTGACTGACTTTGGCTTGAACGCCTTCAAAGAATTCCTGTAAATTCATAAATTGTATAAAGCTGTAATGTCTTTCACGTGATTGTAAACTAAGTAAAGGCATCATTTTGCATATGTTCATATGTTCACAAATGCATACATAGACACCAAGAATAAAATTTATAAACAATCTGTGTCGACCTAATAATAATAACGGTATTAATAAGCTTACGTTGAGCTTGTTCAATGGACGTCCAAAGTATTTCGTAACATAGCCATTTAAAGCTTCATTATACTTTGTCTTTGCATCTTTCTTTTGCACATCTAAGGCTGCTACTTTAAGTTGTGACAAATTTGCATGAAGACGATGGTAGTTTTCCATTCGGATGACTTCGCCTGGAGTTTTCCCCCCATCGCTTGCAAGTCGCATTATAGCGTCAAACATTGCACATAGCATTTTAACGTACCATTTTTCTAAATCACTTCGTCGTGCAGAATTTCCAAAAATTGACTCGGCCATCACGGCGAAATCCTACAAATAAATAAAATTATTCTATAAAATTTCAATTCACTCCTGATTTGAAGCAGAGAAATAATAGTACTCACCTCAAATTCTGTTATGAAAGGAAGAATTCCAGGTTTGGTTTTGCGTGGGAGACGACTATCATTAATAGCTTGGACGTACGAATTCATCAAACGATCAAAACTGCGTTTCTCTTGCACCAAGACACTCCCATATATCATCCCAATATAAGTTGATGTATTTTCTGACTTTAAAGCATGATTTCCCAGTCTGACCATGGCACCCATACAAAAGCTGTTGGTTGAAATAATCGAGTATTTGAACATTTAGTTATATTCAAATACAACATTGGCAAATATTTATAACTTTCCAGTAAAAGATTACCTTGATTCCATCTTCTCGTAATGAACTAAAAAGGCAACTAGCTCGGATTCAATTGAACCGAATAAATTTCCCATAATGCGACGGAGTTCTGCACTTCCACTACTTTTGGAAGGCGAAATGACAGAACTTGTATTTAATGAAGAGCTTCCATCAACATTGAAGAAACTGGTAATGAACTTTTCTTCAGAGTTGACTCCCGGTTCTAAGCCTTCCAGTAGTTGTTCCAACACGTCATAGAAATGCTGCCTTTCTGACGAATCAACAGATCTGCAGATCATGAGGTAAGAAGCATAAATTAGAATTAGCATAATATATATACACATAGAAACCAAGTAATTAATTATTTATACCCTTCGCCTGATCCTTGACTTTCTGTATCACCTTCACGATTAGCCAAACTCCGCGTTTTGCCAAAAAATTTGCCTCGAATTCTTAGGTCGGTTGAAGAGCCGGAAACTGAAAAGGCAAAATAATTGCAATTATTCACACGTATACGTAGTTTAAATTTTCATTCAAAAATATTTAGAACATTATTTTACTTCTTGACGAAGGCGTATTGTTTCCGGAAATTCTTACTCGAGCTTCCTCAAATAAGGCTTTGACGTTTCTCTCGTAAACTTTCTGTGTAGACATGGTATACTTCTGTAGCAACGACGAGTAACAGTCCATTTCAACCGACTTGAGCCAAATCATCAAGTCCGAATAAACAATTAACTCGTTGTGCATCAAATTTAGGGGTGAGAGGCGAAAATGATTGATGGAGGAAACATTATCAACAGAAGAAATATTTCCATGATGAATAAACAGTTTGGCCAAGTGTGATGTGAGGCCTTTCGCAAACTTGTCTCGGATTTTCTCCAATCTAGATCTCTGATGAACGACGGAATGCATCTTTTGTAGAGCTGGATGAATTTCTTCGTCCATATCAAGAGCCTTCTTAAGAAGATTTGCATCTCTCGCGGCTTTCTCAATGCCTTCTTTCGAACTCAAATCTGAATTTAAAATGTTGGATCCAGCGCTAAAATCTAAAGCTTCTATTAACGTGGAGAGTTCTTTGAGTAACAATTGTTGATTTTTTGAAGCTGTCCCCATCTGAGAGTTTTCCTCTTCTATTTTCTCAACTGCTGCTTGTACTACTACAACAGAATCTTCATAATCTGTGAGTTCAGATTCGATTTTCTCCAACTGGACAATAGACTCGTCTATTCTTTCCATAAGTACATTGACTTGCGTCTCTGAATCCATAATGCTGTGAATATTTTCCTGAAACCGATTGTAATTAATTAATTTTGTTGCATATTACTCATTAAAAACACATTGAATTACATACCCCGTCCAAAATTGACAACTCTTTAGCCAACTGCTCCATGAATGCTTCAGCATTCACGACCGCATTTTCAGCCCTGCCAAGCACCTTCTCTAAATCAAACTCTTCACGTTCCGTTAAACCAAATTCTTCTTCATCACTGTCCACCATTTGTCCATCCTTAGGTACAGCAACGATTGGAATGTTACTCGCACCCTCCGAGTCACCTTCTTCGTCCGGCTGGTAATTGATGAATTTAGGGGGCCTGTGCATTCTGGCAGTAATCTGAAACAACGATACAAAACAAATGTATCTCATCTATTCATCATCCAAAAATATATTATCCATCCTTCTTGTGTCACATACTTGGTAAATAAGTGAAAATAAGACATCCTTATCCTCGGTGGAAGTTGCAGTCCAATGGTAACTTTTTTCCAGCAATAAATCAAAATCAAGTGAGTCCTGGAATATTTCAAGTATTAAACGAACAATAGGTAAATACCACAATCCTGTGTATTTCAATGACTCGTTTACAAACCTTAGCCTTGTAATTCGCTTCCTTCAGAGAGGACAATGTCCATTCTTGTTTCCGCTTGAAACCCTTCTCCGTTTGCTTGACAAGATAAATGGTAAATCGGATGGGACGTTCGATACTCCCCGTGAGACAGAGGAACGACGGCTTCTTCTTTCGCGACGTCTTTGTGACGCCAACGACGCCGTGAAGACGCTCCTTCGACCCCTCAAACACCTCCTTCTGCAGCTCAAACTTGGCCCCACTCATAATGACCAATGCTAACTAACTAGCGCAAATTTGTTTACACGTTTTGACAATGGCGATATAAAATCATCATGTTATGTAAACTATTAAATTGAAGACAATTATCCGTCATAAAACAATCACATTAAGAACAATAATCAAACATTAAGTTGGAATGCATAGTCAATGTCACAGCACAGCACATTATAACAATTTCACGCCCCTTCTTCTCCAGAATAAATGTAGGTACAGTTTGTTTGACTTACTGACTAAATAACTTAACAGTGAAAGAATCTTTTAGTTCACGGATCATGTTCCTTTCCAAACGGGGATAATTATATTTAGGTTTGAATTTTACAAATATTTTTTAAATAGTACAGCTTTACCGTATGTCAGTCTGCATTTTACTCCAATTAAATTAACCGATGAGTAATTACCTGCAAGTTTATCTAAACAAAAGAGATACTGAGATTCTCAACTTGCCGCTACCTTCTTTCCTGTCATCCCAATTGTATAGTGATTTGAGATTGTGGTTTTTCATTCCACCTCAGACAAAGAATCTGAATAGTCTCTGAATTTCAATTTAGTACGTGAGAAAGATGCTGATTCTTCAGAATCAGACGACAATCTTTGAATAGAGAAGTAGTTGCAGTTATCAAAAATAAGTAGAAAAATAAATATACATATCAGAAGAATGTGGTGAAATAAGATGAGCCACGTTTTTTATTCAGAATTTGAGGATATCCCAGTTTTGGTAACAAAAAATATAAAATATATTTTTTGTGCAATGTAAGATTTATCACAATTCTACATATATAAATACATGTTATGTATGCCTATCTAGAAATTTAACAAAAGTTTCTTAAATTTGAAAAGGAATTTAAAATGTTTACTCATTTTCACGAGGTTCAGTTGCCATGCATACTTTCGTATTTTTTGTATTTAAAAATCTGTATAAATTAATAAGTTCAACAAATTATTTATTAATGCAGTGAAATTGCATGGAATGAAAAATATAAAATGCAGATTAATGGGGAAAATTGGGATTGGATCTGGAATCAGAAAACGTGTTAAGGCTTCATTGTATGTATGTTACAGCCATATTTTTATGTTGCAATCGTTACATGTTATGTTACTTATTTGCGTGCAAAACATATCGATTTACATTCATCAACTGATGATCCAATGAAAAAAATTGTCCTCAGTAATTGAGTGAAGCAGATAAATGGAATTGGGTGAGGAGAGTGAACAAGGCGCCTTAGCTTAGTGGTAGAGCGCTAGTCTAGTAAACTAGAGGTCGTGAGTTCAATTCTCACAGGTGCCTAGCAAACTTTTTTGCACTTTCACTCGGAACTTTCTCCCAATTTCAAGCAGAAAATAATATAAATCATTTCCGTATTTTCTTTTTTGTTTGACCAAATTGTTTTTGATAGTTGCTTGAATAGAGTAGAGGTGTAAAAGATAAAATCACATCATGTACAAATTTCAGATTGTATCTGTTACAAATTGAAAAACCTGACAATTTGTATCTATGGTCTATTACATGAATTTCCTATATCTACAACATCTCGTCACTCATAATTAAAATTGTGACTGCTATTATTTTCAGTCTTGCTCGAGAACTCTAAAATTTACATTTTCGAGTTATTCAATAGCCAACTAATATCCATACTATGAATTAATCGAGTGCCTCTTTTTATTGCAAACACGTTCACACCACGAGTGTTATATAAGTTTGCCAAACTATAGAGTGATGATGGCAAGCTCAGACAAAACATATTTGATTTTTTGCATTGCTTTCATATCATGTCATACCTAACTCAATTTCCAATAGTTTCGCGGAATAAGGTGTAAAGCAAGTCTCTAAGCATTGCAAAAATTACAAAAATATTTTTGCATCTTGGAGATTGAAATAAGTACAAATTGTCACAAAATATCTCCGTGCGAAGGAAAATTGTTGCGAATGTTGAACGTGTGCGTAAAACTGAGCCTCTGACCTCCTCACTGCACCAGCAGCCAGACAGCTTCTTCTATCTGCTATGCTTAGAAATACCTACCTACTCGATTTGCCTATGCACTATGCTCACTTTCTTTCTCAGATGCGTATTCCACTCTTTTCCGTACTCTCCTCTCTTCTCCCTTTTCAAAATGTCTTGAAAAACTCTCAGAAACTTATTTTTTTACACAATACGTAAAACTTGAACCCTTTCTAACTCTTCCTCATTAACTTGCACACTTTCTTACTCAAGGAAATCGAAATCTCAAGTTTCCACGAGAAAAGAAACAATAATTTTTAATTGTTTAGGAAAAAGGCAAATATTCTCTGTCCTCGTGTGTCGTGGGGAACTAATAGTCATTAAAAGACGACGTATTATATAATTTGAGGTTGTTTTGCGTATTGAGGTGAATCAAGAGTCAAGAGTGGCTGCTGAATTGTTATCGGTGAGTTTTTTAATTGAGGTCAAGTGAATGCAGGTTTTGTGGAGTGTTTCTATATTCTGGAGTTCTATAAATGTTCGGTTTGATTAACATAATATATAAATTGCAAGTTAGTTGATAGAATTGATAAGATTAATAAGATTAAGTATTGGGATGTACTTTGCCCTTGAGGTAGGAGTTGTCTAAGATGTTCTTAAGATATGAGAGGATATCTTACTAATTATTTAAGTTTAAATGGTTTCTTCTGCTATCAGTTTTTAGAACTTGAGTTTTATTTATATATTTTTAACCTTTCTAAGTACGCCAGATTTTTTTTTTTACTTTTTCAGAAGATTACGTTTATCTAATTTGAAATTATATTATTTGCTCATATAAATTGTGAATTTTAAAAATTTGTTTTATATATTTTCCAGCAGCAAGTCGTGGATCAATTAATGGGATAGTAGCCAATTTCGGGCAACGGGCAATGGAACATTTCCAATTTCTTGGTTGGCCGTCGTAATTTCAAAGAAGCAAACAAAAAATTCCTTCGATATCCTCGTGTTCTTCGTTACTAGTCATTATCACTACTACTATGAAAGAATCAAGGGCCATTAATCAATCTGGCCTTCTTCAACAATAATAAAAACAGTAAGATACAAATATATTCCATCAAGTAATGCGCAGTGTAAGAACAAAATATTTACTTTTTATAGTCAATTTGTGCCAATCGTAAAATCGTCGGTATAAACCAATCTCTCTTCACCAATGGTACTTGAAGCTATGGAGTTTTCTAGGATTCAAGACGTGAGTTAAGATTTTGTATTCGAGTGATTAATAAAAACTGAAACTAAGAATTGAAAAATAAACTGAAATTGCTTAACAATGCAGGCAACAATGTTCCTTAACGATGGAAGAAATCTTGTAATGTCTGATGGTGGTATGGATTACGACTTAGTTCCTTTACAATCATCGGAGCGACTTCTAATCCTTGATGACCATGGAGTCTTACGAGAAGCTTTCACAGATGTGTCGTATTTGCTCTCGCATAATTTACCAGCATATGTTGACGACACAGAGATACCGTTAGTTAAATTTTTCACGATTCTCCTCGTCACTACCTGATAAAAATGAGTTTAACGTCGTTTTTGATAATAACCTTTGTAGGCCTCACGTGTTGGATCATATGTATGCCAAGAAGCCTAGAGAACCAGGATCTGAGATGGCTCCTTCCAAACCTCGTCGAAGGGCGAAGCGTAAAGAACAAATCGTAGAACAATTCATTATTCCGGACAGTCAACCTCCAGCTCCAAAAATCAATATCATTAGGTTCTGTTTAAAATTAATTCAACATAGTTTATATCAAAATTAACTAGATATTGCATTTGTATATAGGCAAAGACTGCCAGCCACGACGGTATACAAGTCCTTGTCAGCGAGACCTAAGATACTACACGGTTCTAAGAAAAACAGTCCTGGAATTTCAAATCCACCTACCATCCCTGTCAAAGGAAAAACCAGTCCTTCGAAGCAAAACACACACATAGGCAGAGGGAAAGTAAAAGAAGACCCTTCGAAAACAATGTACGCTTCCTTCGATGATGTGAACAAGCTATTTAATTCAAGAACTTTGCTTGGGAGTTCAAACAAATATGGGAAAGATCAAGGGGGCGGTGGCAGTAAATTAAGTAAATCTAATTCGTCTAAGGTAATAATTTTTTAGCAAATTAGAAATTTATTAAAGTTATTATTTAATTAATGTTACATAGCGATATTTATTCTTTCTGTATTATCGTCTTTCAGAATGTCCCAAATTCAAATACAATCATTATGGATGATCTCCAGCGAGATGGTGCTGCATACGACGACGAAATGTTGTTTGATTTCGGAATAGCCGAAGATGATGAAGCAATTACTTGCACGTTGGGCACTGAGGGGTTTAGTGACGGAGAGTTTGATGAATTTAGTATGGATAATGTTTACAATAATTCAAATCAAAGTAGCTTAAATCCTCCTTCTGGTCCTCCTTCTGGTCTTTCCCCAAAGTCCCCTTCGGGCATGCTGCTTAATCAACGTCCTCAACTGGAAACTTCACAGTTACCTCCGGAAATTTCAGATGATGACGATTCGAACCAAATTATGGTGTCCATTCACAATAGGAAACCTTCTCAAGACTGGGATACTGTACAACTCTTTGAACAGGCCATCAAACACGAATCCGACATTTCTCAGTCTTCGAGTGATTTGTGTGTAGAACCACCGATAACGACCAAAGTAGAAAGTGTTTCTTCTCCTTTGTGCGAAGATCCAAAAAACGTAACTTTAATAGAATCTAAAATAACTTTAGAAGATCCGCAAGATGAAATCCATACGGAGGATGTTAAGGACTTGAATTTTTTGTTTGAAAATAAGCCTGCAGCTGCAGATTTTTCAAAAGACTCGTCACCCAATCCAAATTCAGTTACGACTGCAATTCAATGTTCTCCTACTCGTCGCTCCTCTCGAGTTGTCAAAACTCCAGCGTGGTTAGTTGATAGCGATAAAATTCCATTTGCAAAGCGACAACGCAAGTAAGCACAATAACATTATAATTAATCCAACCTTATTACTAAAATATTAACTCGTTTGTATGTTTTGGTTTTACAGAAAAAGTTCAACGTAATGTCACTATGACACAGCTATTTACACGAAAAATTTCGCTTCACTTGATACGATTTTATATTCAGAGGGGCAATTAAACATAATTGAAGAAAAAATGTGTGTGGTAGTTAGAAGTAGTGAGGATAGTGCATACATAAGGTGCACCAATGAATGAAAATGTTATTATTTTTGTTTAGCCAATTTTGTCGTAGTTTGTTGGTTGTAGTTTAAAATCCTAAAAAAGTATAAACTTCAGGTAAAAGAGAATCAAACTTGTTGGTCAAAGAAATTTATGTTAGACTGATTTATGGTATCTCAACGTCTTTAAGATGTTTGCTTTACTATTTGAAACATAGTTGAAAAACTTTAAAGTAAAAATGAGGTGAGCACTTCTCAAAGTTCTTCTACATTATCCGTGAACACGGATATATTTAACATTATATATAATGGGCGCTCTCAAACATCAGCACCTCTGACTTAAAACAATTCACAAGCATGCTTGTGATTAGATTGTAACACATACATATGCCCAACCAAGTAAAAGAAGAAGATCAAGATATTCATCTGTAGTCGTTTTAGCCCCGTTATTTCGTTTCTATTGTTGCCAGCCTTATAATAAAATATTGTTATTATACTTACATACATATTATGTATATCTACTAAATACATACACTGAAGGAAACTATTGATAATTTATCACACGCAATCATGAGAATGTTGTTGAATTCAAGAGCTGGAATAAAAAAAGATGCGTAACAATTTTTGTTACCTGACTTACTGTGTATTGACATTCTAATAGAATGATTCTATCCAAAAAATCATGAATCGCTCATGTTATTTGAAATTATTTGGTGAACATGCTAAATAAATTGCACCTCACATTTTCATGTGATTGACCACAAGCATGATATATACTTTTGAAATTGGATTTCTTTATTCATACTTGTTTTTCTGTTGTATAACTGTTCAATGCCTCGCTTATTTCCTAAATAGTTGAGTTTAATGTACAGTATTCCAGAATTACGGTACAATATAGTAATAGTTGGATTAAATTTATCCTCAGTTTCATAAACAGCGTACCCCTATTTATTTATTTTATTTATTTATTCAGTTATTCTTATATTTTTATAACAATTTTTATCGTATATAACAATAATAATAGTATTTAATAAGTATATGTAATATAGTAGTAGTCATACTTTCCGTAATAACAATAATGTACTTTTACCCTTGTATGCTTTTTGATCCTGACACCTCTGACTTAATTTCTTCGTGTAGTTTTTTATGTCATCGTCGACGTCGTCGTAATAACGGAGTAGTAAATTAAAAATGTTTCACACCCACACACACTCATCATTGATTCGCACAGAGAGTTTGCACACCCAACTTTTTTGTGGAGTAGTATAGTAGTCTTCGTCTCAGTAGTATATTTAAAATGCCACCCTATATTTCTGTACCTTTTTTCCATTGTTCAAGTTTTTTTAGTAGCTTATGGACTTGTTTTTTTTTATGTCATCATACCTCCTCCTCCTTTTTAATATCAGTATCTTGTTTGGTTGCGAGTAGAATCGTCTTTTGGAGTTTGGAGAAGCATAATGTTTTATTAAATGTAGTAGAAGTTTAGTTTGGGACTTGTATTTAGTAGCATTTTTTGCAGTGAGTAGCTCTGCCTACAATTTCTAAAATTTCGTTTTCTGATGATGATGATCCTATGCTAGATTGTTAAATAGAATACCTGCAGATCTACCTCAGGACATATGTATTTAACAATGACTGCTCTTTAGCGATTTCTGCGGATGCTCTACGTACAGGCCACTTGTACTATAAGTTGAGTAATAATTTCTGCAAATGAAGCCGCTATTTCTTTGCTAGTTTTTGACAATTTATGACTTTTTGGCTGGAGGATTTTTAAGATGCAAGTGTCATAATTAATTACTCGTCTTACTTTTGACCCATGTATTTAGATATACGTACACACACTCCATTCTATATCTGATTTTTTTCTGCAGAAGAGAGCTATCAAATTTTGGAAAAAATCGATTCGGATCAACAAGGGGATTCATTCAGAGAGACTGCTCCCTGAAATTCACTGCAGTTTCGTTGATTGTGTTGGTAGGCATCACTTACAAATTGTGTTTCATCGAGATAATGATGAATCTGCATAAGTAATAAAGTGTGTGAGGACTGACTATAGAATATCGTAATGGAGTGATGCATTACACGAAAAAAGTGTAGAATTATGTAGGATAAGAAGATGAGTGATATTTAATGTAGTTGTAATGAGTAATAAGTAGAATAATACTCTCCCACGGTGGAGATGGACTTTTAGTGTTCCTTCTTTGATATAAAAAACGGTGATAACGGGACAGCAATTATCACACCTTTTCACGGGTATCGTAACAAATTATTAGAAGCAGATTTTGATGTTTTTTTTATATAGTTGCAAGATAAAACTTTGCGAGTACAGGCTGGCAGATAGGCGATTGTTGTTTGTGTATTAGTTTTTAGTAAGTGGCATTTCATACTTGCTAAATGTCGAGATATACATATTATGTATGTATGTAACTTAGTAGACGGTATTGAGATAGAGATAGAGAGTGTAGTTAAGTATCGTCAATAAGTAGTAGTAGTAGGATCAGCTAAGTATCAATGGATAACAATAATATGTAAGAATAATAATAGCAGATCGAGTTACAATAATTTCATGAGAATCATTCTTTCAAAGTGTGTGGCATAGTAGTAAGTACACAAGTATGTAGTAAGTAGTAGTAGTAGAAATAGAGAAGATGAAGGCTGTAGCTTTAGAAAAGTTAGTTTCTTCAGTGTTTTTATGTATGTATGTATACGTGAATCCTCGACAGGACTTATGTACCTCGACAGCAAAGAGCTACTACTACAAGTTACGAACAGACCCTTGAAAAACCGAATCGAGAATGCCCATGATGGTTTTAATAATGACGCCGAATTAGGAAACGAGGGGAGAAAACGCCAACAGGAAACGGAACTGTTAGCAACAATCTAGCTAAGATCAGGTAATTGGTTAAATTTGAGTAATGCTGTGTGGGTGGGTGGCTGATTAAGATGCGGTGTGTGTCGTCGTCGTCGTCGTAATTTGTTTATGATGCAGTGCGTCATACATACCGTGTGAATAGTTTATAGAGCAGAACAATGTGGGCCTTGTTTAAAAAATGGTAATAATAATAGTGCGCCTGCTAATGGCTAAAGCTATCTGATTTTTTATTATATGTAGTTCATATCGAGTGTAGTGTTGTGTAAGGCAGAGTTATTAGAATTTTTGAGAGCACTCTCCACGAAAAGGCTGAAATGATAAGACATCAGAGGAAAGCTGATGTCCACAATTCAATTGCGACATATAGTGATGATAAGCGATCCAGGTAACCTTGTTGAGGAATTATGTGAGTGCGCTTATATAATGAATTACTGTACAGCATATAAATTCACAGGCTTGTATAGGGAATTTTTTTCAACGACGATTTTTGTGTGGTCAACAACAGCTCTAATGAACGACCTGCGACATTTTTCAACAACTTTTGATTTCTTTCTTTTTCTTCTGCAAACCTAACATGATGAATATACATATATCACAAAAACGAAAAGGGCAGTCTTGCACCTGTATGTGTAGTAAGTAGTAAAAATTTCATATGGACGCTTACTGAGACATCACCACCACCAAGATTGAGGACAATGTATTTTTTAACTGATATGAATGAATGTTACGCAATAAGCACCCACATTTGTTGCTCTTTCGTCTTCTTCTCTACTTTTCACCTTTTTTTCTTACTTGTTTAACGTATAGTATCAATTTTTTTAGGACTCTAAACTTAAATTTGTGAGGTTTTATATTTGAGGACTCGGTTTTTGAAACGGTAATAAATTTGTTTTCACCAATCTCAAAGTTTTTTTTAAGGACAATTAGCCACTTGATTAGGATCAGGTTAAAATATTTGTAATAAAATCTCGAGTATGACCGACATTAGTTATTTCAACTTCTTTTCGTTGTTTCCTCAACTTTAGAAATAAACGTTGATGTAAATGAGTAAAGTTGTGTGGAATGAGGTAGTAGTAAATAGTAACCACTATTGTAATGTGTGATTGATCACATTTGTTTGGTGTTTGACGATCATAGTACAAAAGGTACATGCAACCTTCCATAAATAATTTGCAATGATTTCGACTGGAACTGACTTTGTAGAAAACAACGCTTGACATAATATTTAACAATATTAAACTATATGTATGTGCTAATCGAATAAAATTAAAATTTTGGTTGGAAAATCCTAACTCAGTTCTCGTATCACTTGGAAATGTTTCACCGGTAAACCCGTTTCTCATATTTAAATTGCTGCGTTATAATCTAAATCTTTTTACAACTTTAAAGTAATAATACATTATTCTCATCACGTAATAATAATAACAATAATAAGTATGTAACCCCGCAAGCCGTCAACAGCTCTGGCCAACAATATGCTAGCACACGTTAATATGATATTTAACTTAAAACATACTTTTCTTCAGGTCAAATGGACTTTCTTTCAACAATTGGCAAATTATGAATATGATGATGATGGTGATGTCGTTCTCTGTTGCCTGACTGGCTATCCAATCCAACGCACCAAACTTCTTTATATATTATCGATTCACAAAAAGAATAATATCGTGGTCGGAACAATGCAACAAACAAAAAATTTGGAATTATTAAGAGAATTTTAGAGAGACGCCGTTGTGATCGAATCTTCTACAAAGCAATCAATATACTTTCTTTCTTTTTAAAAAAAGCTCAGAAATATGTCTGCTGAAGTGGCATATCAATGAATTTGTTTGTCATCATAGAAGTATAAAATGTTTTCTTCTGAACGTGTCGGTCAGTCTCGGATATTTTTTTGGGTGGGCGTGGAGTGGACATTATTTTTGAACTAAGAATTAACAATGTGTGTGATAGAAACGGTCAGGAGCAGCTTTCTTCCTCATGCATCTACATATTTAGTTGCAGCGTATGTCTTATTGTTTCTTGTGTATTGCGTATATTTATACATATATAATATTTATATACTCACGTTTAGAGTGGTTCACTTTTTTATAGTTGATAGTAAGCAGTTGATAAAATATAAGATGGGAAATTGTAACTAAATTATGTTGCTTGTTGTGTACTTATGTATCCAAGTGGTGGTTTTTTTTATCTCTCTTTCTCTCTTATACATCAAATAAAATTGGTCCAACCACACGACACGAATTAGATAACTTTCTCTTTTTTGCTTCCACACACATCCTCCGTTTTTTTTCGTAGAAGCGATTATATGAGTTAACAAACAGAAATAGAAAAGCGGTAGAAACCTTTACCTGTAAAGATAACATGTTATCATTTGGAATAATTGATTGACAAACGGTTGGAGTAAGTATGTATGTGGAGACTATAAAAATCAGGTAAATTGTTTAAAGCCATCCCTGGATGATTATTAATTATTCGCTTGTGTTGCGGTTTTTGCGTTATCTAAGGCTGTTTTTAAATATATTAATTTTTAGAGCTGATGAAAATTCCTAATTTTTTCCAACGTTGTTGAATAATGCAAAATTTTCGATGAAGTAATAAGTGTTAGTTAAAGATTTGTGAGTATATATATCATATCTATTATGTAGTAGTGTATGTAGACATTAAGCCGTTTAGATAGCTTGATACCTGCCTATGTTACATATTCGTAGGTGGTAGAGTTATTGGAATTTGGATGTGGATTGGATGAGAGCATACGCAGATAGAAAGTCTATGAATGTACATAAGTCCTACATTATGTCGTCCCTATCATAATGAGCACCACATTATTTCCTTATTACTCCTAGTTTACATAGTTCATAGTTCGTTGCAGTGAAATTCACCATCATCATACTGTAATTCGTCGTAGTGTTTTTTCCCTAGTAGTAGTAAGTAGTACGTTATTATGAGTTGGTTTACAATGTAGTAATACAATACGTTCTGATTTTGTATCAAATTAAGACTTGGTTATATAGTTGGAGAGAGTCGGAGAGCAGCTTTCTCAGTGGTTATTATTTGTTGTTTCTTGGTTTTTGGTGTGTGATCAGTGGTGCGACAGAGAACAAGTAGTTGAAGTATTTTTTAATTGGAAATGAATTTTGTATTTGGCATGATGGCTCCTGGTAGCAGGTCTTCTTCTTCATTGGCACAGACACTCGGTTGGTCGTCAGCAGCCGTCGTCGTCGTCGTCATCTTAACCTAGCGGCAAATGGCAGGAGAAAGTCCGACTGTCCATCCACGTTCCTCCACCCACCACAAGCACTTCCATTGCAAGCTACTTAGTTCACCCAGGAAGATACTGTTCCCTGCAAGACATAAAAAAAGTTTATATAATTCTTGCAATAGTTCACTTTCAAATTCAGACAGGAATCTATTTTTTAGTCTGCATGCGCCGTTTTCCTTTCACATATTTCATAAAACAATTCCCACAGTGTGTCAAGGACTCGTATCATCCAAGTCCAGACACGTATGAGTGCCATACATAAGTGGTGGCGTGGTGTCTCAACAATAATTCGGACGTTGTTTGGAGAAACTTCAAGGTTGTGGTTTTTATGTGACCGGTGGTGGTGGATCAATGGGGTGAAAATGAAAAGGGGTGATGATTTGAAGAATTTGTACAATACGTATATCGTGTTACGAGGAGATGACGATAGATCAGATCATCAGCTCTTTTTCGTAAAAGAAAGAAAAGAAGGAGATTTGTCTGACTTTGGTCTAATCGGAACCTGATGATGATAGCAATGTGCTCATTCCTCTTTTTTAACATCCACTAACGATAATAGTGCCTGAGTGAGTGACATAAGCGAGCCGGGTGAATAATTGATTATGTTTTCACGTTAGAATGACGCACGTGTTTCAACTCTACCAACATACATACGCTTTCTTCCATTCTTCCCACCACAACTTTCTAACGCAATCAGACAAGGACAAAGAGCACACGCTTCCAGGGATACGCTAACTACGAAACTATTTTGTGTATTTTTCTCCGTCAGATAAGGTGTCTCTCTGGTCTCGAGTTTGGTATGCGAGATGCGAAGTCCACCACTATACTCGGAACTTTGCAAATCTTCGCCTCCAAGAAGATGATGAAACAAGTGAGACGAGGATCGAATACTTGACTCCATTGGAGGAAAATTTTTATAAAGATTTAAAAATGCTAAAACTGAGAAAGTTTTTTATCTGAATATATTTACTACGCAACTTTATACTTTCCATGTCTCGCCCAACTTTGAATAAATAAAGACATTCTACTTGCATTTCATGGATTTAAGCAGACAGTTGCCATAATTCTTTGTAATTTTACGCAGTCAAAAAATGGATTGCTTCGTGTACGTACTAATATTCATAAATTCATCAAAGAGACCGGAATTGAAACCAGAACTTCCTCAAGTACGTACATACGTATGTATATATGACTGCCTGCAACAAAGTCTGAAAAGATGTCGTAGCATTTTATTTAAAAGTGGTGTTATCCACACAATGGTTCTGGTTGGAAAGAAAAAGACGAAAGTCTGAGGTTGAGACGACTGAGCAGGAAAGAGCAGCAGCACCAGCCGTTCGTACCAGAGGGGTCATTTCCTTGGAAAGCAGGCAAAAATGGGGATCTCGTCCGGATGGTGGAAGCGCTACAATAACTAAACTTTCCCCGTATTAGATTTGCCAACTGGAGTTTGTGGAACGGGACTCGATCAATATCAATGCAGCGTTTCGCCTTCGTCGTTGCACCAAAACCAGTCTCAATTCAGCAGAGTCGACTAGTTCCTCGTGGTACGAGGACACAAGAAGTGGACTACTCCACCAAATGCTCTTTCTTCTTTCTTTCCTCCACTACTGCCAGCTCTCCAACGTCATTCACTTTCTCCCTCCGTCGTCGTCCCTTCTTCTTCCACTTCTGCACTTCTCGTAATATTCTCTCTGGGAGCCTTCTTCTTCCCTTCTCCTTCGCTGACTTAAAATTCTACGTCCTCACGCTTTTCAACAAATGCTCATCTCTCCTCCTCAGCCTCCATTGTCTAACGTGGGCTCGGATGTGATGATGGAATAAAGCGAGTTTCAACGAGACAAAAGATTTGCACATTTTTTTAACAGGTCAAAAAAGAGTCTGATTATATAACATTATAAAATTGCTGAGCAGAACGAAGGATAAATTTCTGCTGCTGCTGAGTAATGAGCTTGCAAAAATATGGGTATTCTTACCGTGTGGTCAAACGTCTGTTTCAATCCGAGGCGTATTGCTATTTCTAGGCTTAGGATTGGCATTTCCCAGCTTTTTGGTGTACTCAACCTCGTTCAGCTCAATGATATCTGAAGACGACTCCGAAACTGAGGCATCATCTGCATTCTGATATCCTGTTACCAATCATCAAACATCATTACAACATTATTCAATTTGTATGGTAAGACAACCTCGAGGGAAAGCACAGCACTTGGTCTTCTTACGCAACAACCTATTGATTATGCCACTACTGACAAAAAAGAATTCAATCCCAACCACTGCACAAGGCCTCGTCTATGAAATGAACCTCTCTGTCATCACCTTAAGAAAAGTAGAGTCTGGTCGTATAACAAATTGTCACGGACAAAGGGTTTGAGCTTGGAATTCACGCCATGTCAGGTGAGGAGTGAAACCGTGCCTAGCGGTGATAGGTTCTGAACAACTTACTTCAAGTCGGACGGATCTATAGAAGGGATCAATGTCGACTAGAAATGAAATCAGCCTTCTTCTCCAGACAGAAGGAAAACCGATGGTCAAAATTAACTCTTCTATTATAACACGGTCGAAATTGGGTTCAATTTCGTGCCCATTGTGTGAATTGTAATGATATTTTCTCAGATGAGGATTTTCGAAAAATCAAAAAATAATCTTACAAAAATAACTATTTGGAAAAAAATGTCTGGAGATAATTGTACGAGAGATATACCAATGAACGAATTGGGGATGTGTATCTCGTGAAAGAAATTCATCCTGCGGTGGGAAACTGACATAATTAAGGGCATCCGAAGAGTTTACTAGACCAAGGAATGAGTAAGACATTAAACCGGGTCATCCGGTATCGATAAAACCAAGAAGATGGTATAAATTGGACACAGATAATGTGAATTAGATGGACGTGACAGTTTGACTTTTTTACAGAATCACAAAATCGCTATAAAAATAAGACTCGTCCCAGATCCTAACCTAACCTTCTTGCTTTCTCCGCCCGATACTATTGTGCGCTTTCACCCGTGGCCGTCCAATTTCAGCCAGACGGCGGATCATACGCAAACTTGGGCTATTCTCAGCTTGAATTATTAAAAATATATAATTCGACATCAATAAAACCCTGTTTTTAACTGGTACAAACTATTTACGATTAGAGAAGTGCACGGATTTGTGAATGTTCCAAGAAGACGAAGATCAAGGGTATTTCTGCTACGAGATGAGTAGTAAACTATGGTGGGATTAGATGTATCAAGTCGTTCAGAACGTACCTAATGTACCGGGTAGATACGGGCAGCTCGTGACGTGGTTGAAGTTCTGACTCTGCATTTCCTCTTGATCCGTTTCCCGATGGTAGAAATAGTTGAAATTGGAAACTATAACAGGCACAGGTAATGCGATTGTCAACACTCCCGCGATGGCACATAAGGATCCGACTATTTTTCCCCACACCCCCACGGGCCTGTTTTGATAGGCAAACATCAATTAGTTATTGTTCTCCCAATTTATTTGCACAGTGTGGTTCAAAACCATGTATCTCTCTCCCCACGGTTACCCTCGTCCAGGTTTCTCTCTACGAAATTGCGGTGAACAAACTATGTCGTTTCACATAACAACAAGAGTCGATAAAGTGTTTTACATGGACGGAAATTTGTAAATAGTGGGTTCCTGATACATAACTTTGAAGTTGATGCATTGATTTCTAACATTAGTTTGCAGTTTATGGTTCACTATGGATCGCACTGAGGTGTCAAGTGAGGCAAAGGTTGAAACCCTTACTCAAACGGGTACAGCAGTTGAACTAAAGTGAAGACATCACTCTTTCTCCTTTGGTCAAGTTTGTTCATGACAACTTGACCAAAATGCGAGTTATTTAAGTTATATAGGTCAAAAGTTATCTGCCGTGCACATTTGAGTATTCGTAGGTGTCAACCTTTGGCTCTCTTGGCACTTCAGGTTATCCATAGATAATTATCGAAATTAAGAAACAACGCAAGCCAAGTAGGTATAATAACATTGATAAAACACTGAGAAACTAAAACATTCATGCGACATTCTCATGCGGAAGCAGTGACTGTTAAATAAATTTAATGAAGAAGCCGCAATAAATATTAGTACACATGTATTCGTGAAGCGGCTTTGTGGCATACGCAAAGCTCAAGGCATCGGATTTCATACTTATTATTATTACTGCTAGTTTGTGTTCGTCATAATAGTAAACAAAAAACGTTAAGTTGCCAAGCTCTGAATTCTTACAAGTGGTGGGTGAATCTTTTTTAGTAGTGTCTAACAATCTAGGTACAATTTAACTCGAAATTAAACTACGCTACGTTTAATTGTTAGTTTGATTATTAGTTTTGTTACGGCCATGTCAAAATGCCCCGTGATCACATTCACCTATACAGCTTCTCCATAACTTTGGTATGTTTCCACCCAGGCGGAGTTTTATTTGGTGTAGTGGAATATATTAGTAATAGTAAATATGTATGTACGGCAATTCACTCATGTTTTACTGTCTCTTTCTCTGGGCATCCATGTCAGGTTTTGATGGTGTATCATTTATAAAGTTATATGATGATGAATTATCGAGTGACGCAGGTATGTGAATACATACACGTTTGTGTGCTTGGGTATGAAAGTTGATATGAAGAGGATATGTACATACGTGTAGTGTGAGTGAGCTACGTTTAAACGCGAAATTGCCGGCGACGGAATGGCTTTCACATTACTTCGTAAAATCAAATTACTTTACGGAAATCACAAATTTTGTGTGATGTGTTAAAAATCTTTTCTGACAGCTTGTTTTTGTAATGATTGAGTTTTTGTAAAGGTTTCGTGTGTGTCCCATGTTGTGCATCAATACCAATCAATTTTTCATTAAAGAAATTCATTCGTTGCGTCCAGTCTCACCAGCACCAAAGACATGCGATGCTGCTGCTACATACATATTCCATCCGCAGTCCAACCCAAACATCCGCATTTATCCACAATCCACACATTCTGCATTATTTGCCTCACTCACACGCCCTTCTTCTTCCTGGCTTTCCCCGGCCGTTCATTCATTCGATTTACTCGTATGCAGCAGTAGGAGTCATTCCGTATGGAAATTGTAGGCAGGATTGTCCTACTGAAGACTGATTGCCTTCCACATTTTTTTGCACAAATATGCCTCTAAAGCTGTTATGCTAGAGCCGATCATGGATCGTGGACTAACTATTCGTGATACGTGACTTAAAAGGGTCATCGTCGATTATGATTGGATGTGAAATGAATACTTTTTTCTGCTTCCTCGTCCATTACTACTACGCACGGTCAGAGTTTTTGGCGATAGGAGTGAATACACTATTAATGTACACTTTGGATGAACACCTGCTCTATCCATCCTTCCTCAGACTACGTATCTGTCCGTATGTGTATCTATCTATGCCTCTGATTCAGTTCGTCCTACGTAGTCGAACGAACGCATATGTATGAAAACCAGGGGGAATAGGAGTAAATATTGTAACTCACTTTTCTCCATAACTCAATCGACTTTCTTTGTGAAATGAAAATGGAGCAGCTCGCTCACGAAACTGGCAGTAAACAATTTAGTAATGCGATTTGATTCATACTTGCCGTTATTTGTTGGACATGTTTGAGTAAATAGGAATGAACGCCTCTGCTCCGTAGAAATGACATGAAATATGAAGTGAAACGGGAAGAAGAGGAGTGGAATTAATTTATCCTGCAAATATTTAATGTCAGCCGAGCACAAGAGGAGGACTAACTAGACGGGGACTGATTGGGTTGATTTGATTCTCGATGTACGTAGGAGGCTCTCCTTTTAATTCGGAATGGATACAACGCGAAAAGGGAGCTGAATGAGTGCCAAAAGGAAAAACTGGAGCAGCGCCCACCTCGACCTTGCCTAATTCCCTGGAAAATTATTGTGACAATCTGACAAATAAGTTGACACCCGTAACTAACTGGGAGCGATGGAAGGGAAATCTTTTGGCACCTAAATCTGAACCCATCAGCCAAGCCCTCCTACAAACAGGGTGTAGGACTCACTTACCACTCTGGAGGTACGATTATTATCACACCGGCTCCTTTCCCCCTCCCTCGAGTGATCTTTACGTCGGGTGATCTTTCCAGGAAATGTGTTAACTTCGCATTAGGATGAAATGATGAGACGCTTTTTTTGACCCGTACTTTTACATGCTTATGAACATCAGCTTCTTTCACACTTACACACACATCGTCGTATTGACCAGACGGTCAATTAATCCTGAAAAATATATACTGTGCGACTACTATTATTTACTACCTACTACGATTACGATGACCTACGAAACTGTCTAAATTATTGGCTATCATTCATACTCTCAATCTTTTATCTCTTTTTTTCATGAAAAAGCAAAGACACACCAACTATTTAGTATTTTCTATTTACTGAATTCGGGTGAAAACACAACAACACTTTCCTAACTCAACTGTGATTTATACTAATAAAAACATGGTGAATTAAGCAGTGGTGATATTACAATAAGAACGAAGAACGTGTGGAGTGCCTGCACATGTAATTAATTATAATAACGAACGGCGGCGAATGAATGAAATTAACACAAGAGTTTGTTTGTTTATAAGAATAATAATAATAATAAAAATGTCGTATAGAGTGAAGCATCTGCTGGTTAGTATTAGTAACAATGTTATTATTAGTGTATTAGTTAGTGGTATTACACAGAATTCAAAAAGTGGTTAGTACTCATTGCTGGACCGATTCTCAACTCAGATATTCTGGCTCATAAGGAAATTTAAGAGTCCGTTTAGACCTCATATTTTTTGGACTTTTCCCATTTTATGACTCGTCTAGAATATATCATGAGGTGTGAATTGGCAATGTTGTTATTGGAACAAATGAATGAATGAAACTAAAAGGTGGATTAGGTTGAAACACTGCACTGCAAAACCCTGCATGATGAAGAAGCAATCCAATATTGCTTCTTCATCACTCGTTTTTTTAAATTCTTGTTCAGAAGATAAGGAATGCAAAAGGAGGCGTACGTCATATCGCCATAACCCACTGTCGTCATGGTAACGACAGCCCACCAGAACGCGTCAGGAATAGATTTAAAATACGAATGTTCCGTTCCCGCTTCCGCGAAATATACGGCAGATGAGAATAGAACCACACCTACGGAAGGAAGAAAATCATAGATAGATAGATAAGTAGTGGGCATTAGACAACAGAGCATTAGAATTGTTTGGCATAGTCATTTTCTTTCCCCAACTTGGCTTTCACCACACCACGTCATCCGATATGGACCACACGAGCATAAATATTATTGTTCCACGGGTCCTCGTCGTCATCGTCTTTCAAATAATTACCTCAAGACAACAACAACCTCCTCCTCACACGTAATCATTCGTCTTCATCGTCGTCGTCGACTCTGGATGATCGGACTGTGTAACCAACCCCGGCAGTTCTTTTTTATTATGTGTAGTCAAGTGATCACCGGGGGATCATATATTTATATGATCTCTCGCAGTTTTTTTTCGCAGGGTACGTTTCTTACTCGTGTGTGGTCTGGTAGTCCTTTAGGCAAGTTGGGCAAGTTTAAATTATTAAGTCGAGTCTAGATCAACCAAAAGCACTTGTAAAAAGACGACGCTACGTGCGAGCGATTGTGTTACTTGGAGAGAGAGAGAAGTAGTCAGATAAATACGTACAAATATATATAGAGGAAGAGTATGTTTGGAATATAACTGGAAGCCCACTGATGTCGAGAACATCACAAGTAAACAACAAACTCAGTACAATAATGCGATACAGTACAATTACAGTACATAGAACAACAATACAGCGACTGAATATAACGACTCTGGCTGTAAGAGAATTGCCAATCAATCAATCCGTCGTACACGGTTGGGGTTGAACATTCTCTCGTTTTCTCGTACACACACACACGGACTCGTGGAGGAGGATGTAACAAGTGTGTGTAATTTGCTGCTGGGAAGACGTATTATTATTATGTCGTCGCTGTTTATTATCGGTACATCAACATACGTATTAAGCCACAATAACGTTTGGCACAATTCAGAGGCCGAGAAGCACAATGGGACACTTCATGATCAATGAATAATTTCGCATTGTAGGAGAGACAGAAGAAGTCAGGGTTAAACAGTATTACTTAATGGAGGATGGAACAAAGGATGGGGAAAAAGGCTTTCACAAAGGCTACTCCGAGTACGAACTTTCACTTATCAGCAGCACTTATCAGCGTGCTTAATAAGAATGGTGAAAGTGAGTGAAAGTAAAATGTACATACTTTCAACATTCGACTACTTTTACTGACTAATTCCTTAAAAATCAAACTAATTTAATTCAGAATATTTGTTGACCACTCGGAGAAAGTTGTGAAACCCTTTTTGCCCCTTCTTTCGAAATGGGTGAGGAGGCGGGTGAGGCGACGACAAGGAGAGAAATTACCTCATGTCACCGTAACCCACTGTCGTCATGGTGATAACCGCCCACCAGAACGCGTCGGGTATACTTCGAAACGAGGAGTCATATTCATTTGCATCTGCATGATAGACAATGGACGAGAATAATACTACCCCTAAAAAAAATCAGAACATTGGTTCCTTTCGTTGTTCCCAGGGTCCACGTTTTGTTGCTTTACTAGTAATTCTATGTATATATAGTAATTAACATATAGCTCGCTACAATAACTTTTTGATTTTGACTTGTAACAATAGTGTGTAAAATATTAACTCAAACTATGTAACAACTTTGAAGTCAAAGAGCTGACAAAATCACCTTTCGAAAACTTTCCCTTTTTAAACTATTATTAGAAGAGTGAAAGTTGAGGGGAGAAAGACGTCAAATCAGGCCAAGTCATTACCACCATTCGCACAGAGTTATAATTTTTATGGGCTGATCGAATTATGAAAAAGTTAATTAAATCTGAAATATTACCCGCAGAAATTGCCTATAATTTGAACATGGAAACATGTGTGCATCATACGTGGTCCTACATATTATTGATCACATCTATTTAACAACATGACGCAATCCGTATGTCCAGGCTCATTTAATGGTTCAATCAAATAACCTCCTCAGTGTGGTTGCCCATCTTTCTTTCTCTCGCTCACTAACGTCATTCGCTCTAGAGTTTCCTCAGAATACAAATATTGGCCCAAAAACTGGAGAATGCTAAAGGTTACGACTGTATGTACATATATTGAAGGAAATGATTTAGCAAAGTTCCTGGGCTGGGCTTGGTGGGACACACTCCGTGTAATTAAACGCATTACATGGAGATGAGATAGAGGAGGACGACGAGGCGGAGCGAGAGCGTGGACTTAATCAGGAAATGAGTATGCAAAGCACTTGTGTCCACAAAGAGATTATTTGCAAAATCACATCTCCCTTCAAACTCCAATTATCCAGTCGGAGGAGATGTTTCTCGAATTTCACAGGACCACGTAATGGACCGGCACTACATGCGAGAACCTCTCCCTTTACACCCTCCCCTTCAGTGGAAACGTTAAAAAGCCACTTATATAGATTTGTTAGGACGCTTTATTTTTCAATAGCTCGCAACCTTTCCCTTTAATCCGGCCCTGTCCAATTTACCATTATAAACTGGCCATTAAGTTGCGCAAGTAAAAGTACACCACTAATCAACCTCTTTCGCAATGGAATCCGTTCCTACGAGATGAAACCTCTCCTTCTATTGGTCTCCCATGGCATATGGACAAACTCAAGAGCATCTTGAATCTGCTGGGGAGTGTGTGCATTAAGAAAATGCGATTTAAATGCCAATCTGTCTGGTCAACATTCCACCAGGGTTGAGGGGATTTTGGGTAGAATTACAATCACTGAACTGCGTGTATTCCTGACCTCAAGTGTTTCCACCACTGCGGTTTATTTGCCGTTTGCTAAGAGGTCCTTCAAGTCACCGGGAATGAAATGAGTTAATGAAAAACTTTCCTCGTTCAACCCTTGACTGACTTACTCCTTGCTCAACACTTAAAAGCGTATCTGAGCGAAAGTTGAATTATGTACCTTTCACTTTTGACCTATTCATGTCTGCGTGAAAATTAATAGATCAAAAGAGTTTGGGCCAAGTTAACAATGTGCTCGGATAAAAAAGAACCTGATCCTCTTTCCTTGCCTTGATTATGGTCGCAAACAACAATCTGCGGGTGTCAGTTAAGTTGGGAAACTTTCTCCTTATTAAACATGTACCGATGTAATTTACAAAAACATTTTACAAGGAGAATTAACCTAATTAGTCGTTAATTTTTGAATGGCTAATAATTCTGCAGTAATTTTGCCGTAGTTGCAGCGATATTGAGAAGATATTTGATTAGATTAGATTATTGATTGATTGGGTTTTTGGTTCGCTTCTCCATTTGGGTAACGTTGGTGGTTGGCGTGTTACCTTGATTCCGACTTTCTCTTCGTACACGTACCATCATTTGCACGCGTGGAATTGTAAACACTTGGCTGGTCGTATCGCAGTGATGGTGAATATTACGAGTAATATTACTCGAGAAAGCGAAGGAAAAAGTTGACTCACCGATAAATAGGAAGAAAATGAGTAATCCCAACTCTCTCATGGAAGCTTTGAGAGTTCTGCCTAGAATCTGGAGCCCTTTCGAATGTCTTGAGAGCTTAAAAATTCGGAACACTCTGACTAATCGTATAACTCTGAGAATGGCGAGTGACATGGCTGAAATGCAGAAAAATAGTTATGTAGTTGTACATTTCATCATTATAATTTTATCACAATGCCCAATTCTTCGAATGATTAATTTTTCGCCCAAACTTTGTACTACGACTATCTATTTAATAATAAATGCGCATTCGTTTATGGACCAACTTTAGCGTACCTTGGTTCGACGCGGAGTCTTGCTTCGTCTTGGGGACGATCGGCTCGTTGTCATCCTCGGCGAGGACGGTGGCTGAGAAAAAGATTTATAATTTTTATCAATTGTGGGGCACTTCCAGACAGATCGAATTAAATGCATTGGCTGTTCATAAATAACACCAACGAACGACCACATGCACGCATATCATCATTATCACCGAGTAACAATAAATAACTCACCCAAGGTAAGAAAGTACGGAATGATTGCTATACGATAGAATAAAAACGGAGATGATTAAATCTCACATCATTCCTCCATGAATTATGGATAAAATTGAAATGTTGGTTACCTATCAAGTCTATGATATTCATGACGTCGCGGAAAAATAACAATTTATTGGGACAGGAGAGAAACCGGACAATTAACTCGAAGCTGAACCAAATGATACATATAGTCTCAGTTAAAAAGAAGGGGTCTGTTAAATCAGGCACTTCGTCTTCTTCAACAACTATAATATAAATAGCATAAAAATGCAATTACTAACTTACGCCACAATAATTTCGTGTTAAATATTCCAATAGTAAATATGTAATTGCAACTCACGAGTCGTATTGTTCGTCACCTGGTGAAGGGTGTAATGCTTGAACTGAAAGAAACATAATTAAATTACTAATTAGTTTGTACCACAGATTACATCGATTTTTCATTCCTTTTCCAGAAATGGCTTCTTTACACCTACGACAATTTCAAGCCTCCAGAACGACTTGTACAAAAAAAGCATGAAATATTTCACTTGCCTCGGGCAATGTCTCCAGACAAAAAATAACTATTGACAGAAGGATCACAAACACTGAAATAATCGCAACCACACGCGCTTGCTGCGAACTCTCGGGATACTCAAACAATAGCCACACTTTACGCTGAAACAGGTTTTCTGGAAGTGGCTTCTCCTCTTCCTTGATGAAACCCTCATCCTCCCTGAAAGCAAAAAAAACATTGGTTCTTTGTTGTACTACATGATGGTACATACATTCATATTGAGGCATTTCGGGTGCTTTCACCGTCCTCCAACTCAACTCAACTCCACATATCACTCACCTGAACTTATTCGTCGCCAACTCCCCAAGCTCGTAGAACTTGATCTCCTCGGCGAAGACATCCAGAGGCACATTTACCTAGAAAACACGTAACTTGTAAGGTAAACAATTCTTGGATTTCAACCACCCCACGGGCGGTAAGCGATGGAGGATTGGAAATAGTAGGCACTCACCGGTCGACGTAATCGACCACCCGACTGGTAGTAGTATAATATGGCATCGAAACTTGGTCTATTTCTATCGAAAAAATATTCATTCCTGAGAGGGTCGAAGTATCTGATGCGTCGGGCGGGATCTCCTAACAACGTGTCTGCAGTATTAAAGATTCAAAAGTTTAGTTGCACATAAAAACAATATGACATGTGCCTTCTGTTGTGCCAGCAGTGTGACCAACTAACCGACAAGAGGACAGACTAACTTACCCGGAAATTGGTTGAGGGTCCGCAACTGCGTCTCAAACCGCAATCCACTCACCTGTAACGCACAAGAAAAGTTTGTCCCATCAGCCAAACACATTTAAATACATCACCAACAACCGCACTGAACCAATAGGGATTTCAAACTCGTGTATTTCATCTCGTAACATAATTTCGTAATTATTTAGAGCACAAACTTTCACTCTTACATACAACATCCTGGAAATCATTCATTCCTAAATCTATCCAAATTTAGGACCAATTACGTAGTCAGAAAAAATTAAAGTTTTTTTAAACCAGTCTGAAACCAAAGTGTGGCATAACTCGCAAATTATGCTCATTGGCCAAGTATTCTACAATACGATTATAAAAATGGTATCATAAAACAGAGGAACGGGGTGAAAGTGGAGTGGTTTTATCAGTCGAAGAGAATCCTTTTCTCGCGAATATAGACTTTGGGAGGAGGCGAATATGCATGTCTGATGATGGAAAGCTGAATAATATTGCAGCTTGAATTTCATCTGAATGTTGGAATACATAATAATATGTTGAGTGGAATAATAAAATGCGAGCCGAGTTAATATCTTTGGACTGCTTGCGTGGTACGGTTTCCTGGCTGAAATGAGTTTATGATGCAAATCCACGGCTTAATGTGGTGGATGGAAATGTGTGTGGAAACGTGGGAAATGGGTAAAATGGAGCCTATTACGATACCACGGGTCAATTCTTGTGGAGAAAAGGGGGAAGGAAATGGTCAATCATGGATATACGGAATAAATAGAAGCTTTATTCCTCTCCTCGACGGTCTTCAGGATCATTAGTTATAAACCGGATCATTTTTTCAGACTAGACGATCAATCCTCTCCTGAGAGAGAAAAGCGTGCATTTTAACCTAGCCATTTCTCCTGGCCTTTTGCACATGTTCTGCTCTGATTATGAAAACTAAATCCTTACCTTCAAATTAGCAAGTTATGCACATTTACCTAATTGTTGGTCTAATTACTTCTGATAGTTTTTTGCAAAGTTTTAGCAACATTATAAAATATTACGTAACGTTAAAGCGTTACACAATTGGGAATGAGCTTAGTTTCTGCATAATTAAAAGAAAGAGTAAATTCTGTATCATGTTAAACCCAACTTTGTTTCAGCTTTGTTTATATGTCAAGTGGGTTACAAATTGTGAACGCATTATTGGATTTTTGTCACGAAGTTGGTAAAAATATGGCGTCACTCACGTTTATTACGACTCGCTCGCAGTCCTGATGGTTGTGTGGAATTGGCTCAAAGTGCCCAGTTCCAGTAAGATGTAGTGTTTGAGGTGTTGGACCTTCGTCGTCTTGGCTGCTCAGTTTGGGTAAGGACCTGAAATCAGAATAGGGTAAAAATTAAACCGAGATTCACTTTTCCCCAATAACAACCAATAAGCAGTTCCAGCTTATCTTATCTTTTCATCATCATCGACTACTCAGTTTATACCCAACATTATTTTCACTCGGACTGAATGAAACATTGAATTATTCCCACTGCACGACGACGATACAGGAACTAGAACAGCAGCGTGGGACATATTTCCCCGGATACAATAATTTTCAACCAACACTCTGCAGCCCTATCACCTCAATAATAATGTCTTACAACAGCCCATTTCTTCCGGAAGCAGATTGGCAATGGCGATTAAGATATGCTTGCTCTGCTGGACGTGCTGGGCGAAGGGTGTCACACACACAATGGATCTTGTATAACATGTTCTGAACAAATACGTACATATGCTGAAAAAATTCATCCATACTTCTGTCACAAATTCGACTGCCAGAGGAGCATATCCATCCATACATTATTCTGTCGCCCAGGAAAAATTCGACGGATTATTATACGTATGTACCTACCCTGCTGCTGCACGGCCAGTATGGGCGACTACAATGCATACAGATGGTCACAGTACTCTGATTTTATTATAGCTGCTGCCACATATTTCCAGTCGCATATCTGTAGCGTTTGGTTTTCAAAGTAACACGTTCTAGAATTGCGATGAGGCCTTCTTCCTCCAAGGAATGGTGTGTGTGCATTAACAGAAATTCAGATTGAGGGAAATTGAGAAGCCAAGACGTAGTGTCTTGGAGTCCGGCCAACATGAATAAATATCATTTCGGTGAAGAAAGGAGGAGGCAAGACCCATATTGCCAAAACAACATTGGAATACATGAAACATCATTTTCTCAACAACTAGTTCGACACCGTGCTCCATGTCAATCCTCGCCCTGCTCCTCAATTTACTTGCAAAAATAAAGATGAACCATCAAATGCACACCTCCTTTTACTTAACCTTATGCTCATCACTCGTCGATAAGCCTCCTTTGACCCTGACCACCTTGGTCATGAGTTGAAGTGATGCACATAAAAAGCATCTTTCTGGACATTAAGGAACAACAATCTGTCATCTGCTGGGTCATTAATTTCTGCCCCAGTGGAATTGAAGTAAATAAATAAATTTACAAATCGGAGATCAGAGGCAATCGGATGTGTTTTTTAAAACAACAAGCAAATTGGTTTCTGCTGGGCGCCTTCCAAGGTTTTGCAAAACGCACATTTTTTTTACTGCAGGATAAGCCAAAACCTACGTTGCATAGTGATGATAATCGGTCGGCGATTTGCTTCTGACTCATTTCGAAGTGAGGAAAAGCAACAGTATCATAAACCCATCATCGTCGTCCGATATATGTGTCACTACTGAATAGAAGAACTGCTTCTACTACCCGTTACTTTTAAATAAAAAAATACAGAAAATACTCCCTGGCAACTCTGGTATTGCTCATCATGCACATCTTTATCTTCATATTAAACCCATCCGTCTCCTCATCGTCGCTCAACCTGAGCCATAAACCCATTTATTTGCCTGGCTATGGTTGAGAATTGAGTTGCCTCTTAAACGGAGGGTGGTCGTGGGATTACAGCTTTTATGACATGTTCGCAATGAGTGAAACAGAGCAGACACATGGAGTCAAGATCTCTCAAGATTCCATCCTCGACACAAGTTCAGATAAACCTGTCAGTGCAACACGACCCTTAAATTCAATCCGACCAATAGAATAGTTGTAACCCGTCGTCGATTCATGTGCTGCTCTGCTGATTTCAAAGTGCAAAATACCAGTTTTGACCAGAAAGCCCAAAACTGGAATGTTGGAGAAATCCTACCACATCCAGCGAGCGAGATAACCACAACTGGATACACACATGCTAATTAAGTATTCCCAACGAGCGGAAGAGCACACATTGTTATCATTAATATTATTACATGGTATGCCACACGAGGGAAAGATGTCTTTCCCAGGTCTGCATATGGAAATGGAAATCAGATGAAGTAGACGGATGATTGATTACCCATTGAAGTCCTGCTTCCTGGCCAATCGATCGACTGAACACTTGAAGGATCGGTTGGTGAGGAGGAGAGAAGGGGAGTTAAGTGAGGGGGAGCGTGAGGGAGAGCGGAAGGGAAATTGGCCTCTATCCCCACCATCCCCAGTGGGCGATAGACCCCACCCGTCCAGGCGAGAAATTTTGAATGTTTCTCTAAAAACACGGTCGAACGACTCACCACACCCACCACCCACAATTTATCACACCACGAGCTTCCTCCAACCAACAACGAGGAGGATGGGTCGACCACGATGATAATGACGTTGTTGGCGTTGTCGCGTTAGCTTGGAAGCGATCAGGACGACGACATGGGGGACGAGAAGCTATATTTATTTATGTTTTGGGGGTGGTTCTGTTTCATGTGACATGTAATAATCTCAGAGTGAGGAAGGTGAGGTTGTGTTGCAAGTGGTCATGGGGTTTTATAGGAGAAATGAGTTGGACGATAAATAACACATATTATTATGTCTCATCATACATATTTAAGTCAAGTCGTGTAGTGTGTCGCCAAGAGTAAGCGTACTACAAGGTGATAGAAAGGTTAAGAAACAATTAGAACGTGTAATAACTTAATTAGCATCGTAATTTGCACACTTTTGCACCAATTAAAATTAATCTTTGGTCGTGTAGATGAATTATTAATGTGTATTTAATCTCACATTTATTCAAATAAACTCTGTATGTCTGGACGAAAGCAGTCAAAACTGGCTGGATTGGATTTAATGGGAATTAGTCGAGATGATGGTGATGATGATAATGATGAGTTGTCCGAGTGACATGTTCATTTTTGAAAGGACGACAAGATTATATTTGTATGAAAATTACAGACGGAGGGAGACGGAAAATGTTGCTTAAAATTAACCCGCGACATAATGGAGGGTTGTTCTTTTACTTAAAGATTTACTTAACGTAGTGTAATGTAGTTGAGTAGTGGACATTGTCGTAGTGTAGACGGTATGATGATGAGTAAGAAGGATGGCTAAGCGTTGTTTCCCAGGCGAAGAACGAGTAGATGAGACGAAGCAATAATGTTGGTTGATGAGGATGAGACATGAGATTACGCCGCCGCCTTCGCCGCTGCTGATCATCGACTGATAATAAATATTTTATTCCAAACGTCTTCTCAAACAAGTGGGATTTCCTCTTCTTCGACGTTCCTCCTCCTCCTCGAGTTGACGATGATGTTGAGTATAAAAGGCTTCAAGTAGAAAAAATTTCAAGAAGTTGCATCCCATTGGTTCTCTCTTTTTCCCTTCACTTCTCGTCCTCCTCAAGAAGATAGACTTAAGTGGACTACATGATTTTCACAAGTTTTCCTCCTCAAAAACAAGCAACTCTGACAGCAAACAAACTCAGCAGACCAGTTCAAGTCTCTTCAGGGGAGGGATTCTTGTGATGGAAAAAGTTCCATAATCCGAAAATTTTTATATAAAAAATGCCTCCAATTCTCCGTACAGGGTTTGATTGTTAGTCTCGGGCTGAATCGCCTCTCTGCTCTCACCCACCGTGTGCTTATATTCACAGGTCAGTCAGGCAAACTTGAATCAATGATGATGGGATTCAATGAGGTGTAAACAAGTTGTGACGAGATTAGGACTGAAATTGAGTGGAGATTTTTCCTAAAACTTATACTCTTTTTTTTCACCCGAAATGGCAAACATCCGATTTCGGAGAGAGGGAGGAGGAGGTATACGAAGGCAGGAGGGAAGTCGTATCATGTAATGTCAGAGGCTATCTCATGATGTGATGCATTGAATTGTAATGTTCTTTTTTTGGCGATGAGTTCAGCAGGTATGTGAGGATAAAGGTGGTCGTATGGGGGAAAAGAAGGTGGATGTGGTGACGTGGTACTGGTTCTTGTGGAGGAATGCTGCGCATATAAAGGAGTATCTGGGGGATTAAATATTAGCTTAATGTCCCGGCTTATCCTGAGGGATGAGCGGATATAGAAAGATAATGATGGTACAACGTGGTCGGGGAATCACTGAATTTCGCTCTCCTTGCCAGGTTCTTGTAACTTAATAAATGTGTGAAGAATTTGAGAGAGTGTTGAGAAGACCGGTGTTCCGTCCAAGTTTCAAGAAGTTGATGGTCGTGAGTGTCAGGTTTAATCTTTGGGAGTTTCCCGTTTGTTTGTGTGTGCTTTCTTTCACTGAGACAAAGACTTTCACCGGCTTAGGGAGGACCTCGCATCCTTACAACTCGGGAAGAAGTTGGTGTGTGGTGAAATGTATATCCGTATCAGGTTGTGTGTTGGGAGATGTGTGAGTGATGTCTTTGCAGGGGTGAGACGTGAAAAAGTAGGTAGACAACGCTCTCCAGGAAAAGTGGGGGATCACAGGAGTACGGCAATTATGCGGTAAAGGCAGATTTCTTCCATACAGGGAGAGAGAGAGAGGAGAGAGAGACCTAAAGTAAGTAGATGAAGCCCTGGGAAGTACAAGATCTTGTCTTTTGATGCCACCGACAACTCGACGGACTTTTCTTCCTCTGCTGCTGCTGTATATTCACCAGCACCTTTGCTAATGTCCACAGCATATGTGATACACGTAAATTCAAGTGGGCGTCCGCCGATCCATTCCTTCTCCTTTGATGATTTTTGTTCACTTGGTCGTCATTTTATTTACACAGACGCTCCTGCTGCTCGTCTCTTCTCTCCAAGTTTTGTCCATTTCATTTTATTTCGACATTTCACTCAATTTGTACACTTAAAATCCATCCTCCTCCTTTTCCAGACTTTTCTCCACACACGGTTCAGTAAATAGGGTCAAACTTATTTAAACGTGTTTCTCCCACTTTCCACATATTTCTCGCCGCTTTCTCCGCCTCACTCGGGTTCCTCTGCTTCTATCATAGCTTCAATTTCAAACTAATTTAATGTTCAACTCTTATGTTGGTTTATTGGTTGGAGCAGAAAGTTTGCACCAATTTTCAAAAGCACCAATTCA